TCATTGTTTTTTCCCTACACATTCACCACTACACGTCCACCGCGGGATTCAAGCATAACAAGGCCATGTTTCTTTGTCAAGTGACTTGTATGCTTCTGGACGGAGATGGCTCTCTTAATCGCAACGGCGTTCCACTTCCCCCCAGAGTACCTTGAGGGGGAGGAATTCTTCCGAGCACCCATCCGCCCGGTCCCCCGACCTTTCACGACAGCAATAGGCACCCCCGCTCCGGCCTTGTCAAGGCACCTCCAAGCACTCCCCGATCCCAGCCACGCCACCATCACCAACGACACCCTCGTATTCAGCAGGAGACCCAGTGTTTATCCATCCATCGCAAACACATTGTCCGACACATGGTACCCTTGGGTGTCATGCAAGAGATCTATGTCCCGTGAACATCATACAGTGGTGCCGGTCTATCACAATAAATACACTCTCGAGAACAAACCCGGGCCCAGATCGTTGAAGAAGAAAATGTACCTGGCCCTATCCTTAACTGAGCGCATCTGCCGGTACTAACACACGTTAGCGTGGCAACAATCTGTGCTCGTTGACACAGCGTACGGTACAATTCATACGAGTGGCCTGATAGTACCCCCACGATAACTCAGTCGCCGACAAACACGGCCATGGTTTCCGTCGTGTCTACATACACATTGGTTTCAAAAATTCACAATGACAATGTACCAGAGTTCTTACATAAAGAACGTTATTAGCCACAAAGTACCACGGGTTGGAGTCCCACGCCGTTGCTTGCTTGTTTCCCGAACTGTTCGGAACAAGATTTGGCCAGCAACACACGCAACTACAAGAGACAGAACAAGACAATGAAAAACACACACAACAAAATCACAAAACCCTTTGCTAGCGATGCTACAATAGCTGTAATCATTTCCTTAATTCCCCCGGCTCCCCCTAGTAGAATATCGTAACCCTCGCGTCGAATGACGTTCCGACCATGAGATTTAGCACGCCACAAGCATACTTGCAAATTCGATACATGCCCTTCCTTCGCGTTTCGAGGTGAGGGAGGCCCAATACACATCTCTTGTTCTTCCTTCTGGCAGTTTCTGGGGGAGGGGGCACTCGGTCGACTCGTTATGAACAAACCGCGTGGGATTCGATGTTGTCGAAACTGTCGGCATCGTCGTACTCCACTCGCACAAACACCTGCGTGTGTTTAGGATGTGATCTGCAATAGCTGTCAACTCACCCACCAAGTGAAGGAGGGACCTCCCAGTTAGCAGCACAAATTAACCGGGCCGAGTCCACCCAAAAGTTGGGTTGCGTTGGCGGCCAGCGGGGGCAGGCGCGGGAGCCGCGACTACAACAAGCGCCTCCCCATCTCGATGTCGCCACCGCCCGGACTCTCTGTCGGATCGGCTGCTTTGCCAGCGCTGGAGGTCATGCTACCACTACCCTCCGTCATTGTAGACGCCTCACCACCACGACCGCCATCGCCATGATCACCACCATCAGTCCTCTGTGCAGGTCTGGTCCCCTGGGAAGTATTCCCCCTTTGCCCTGCCCTACGGCTTCTCGTGCGGACTGAAGCCTAGCTGCAGCCATTGTAACCGCCTTCCTGCAGCGGGACTCCGCTTGGTTCGCGGTGAACAACCCTGGGCGTCAGTCGCCCCCCGCGATAATAGAGAAAAAGGAGGTAGATGAAAGCCGTCAGCTTTCGAACGTTTCCAACTATAGCTTGCCTGGTGATGTGTCCCTAGACGGTTTCCGAACGCTCCATCACCTAAGGAATAAAGAAGAGCCTAGAACGTCAGGGTTCCAGGTTCCTCGAAGTATGAGAAGTTGACAACCCCGCTCTACTCTTAAAATCCCACATGGTCCCCATTAATTTCTCCGCACCAGAAAAAAATAAGCGAGCGTCGGACAATATATTGTAGGAGACATGAGGTGGCGCGTTCCGTTTCTGCTGTGGTAGTCGTACATCCTGTACTTGTGCTAATCACTTTATTGGAGTGTTGGGTGGGCGGGGCGTGTTCCACGGCCTACTCTGGTCTCTCTCTCTCGCGTAGGCCACGGTCGAGGTGGCCTACTTCACAAGCTTTGATAGCCGTCCGTTAGAACCATATTCACTCTCCTACGGAAAAGCATAGCTACAACAACGACATCCCATTTCTAGCAACTTTTTTATTCCACGGCCACGCTGGTATGTAACCTCACCTCTCGTTAGCTTCTGTCACGGCTTCCTCTCTACCACCAGCCGAAGCATTGGTGGTGGTGGTGGTGGTGGTGGCGGCAATGGTTCCTTCCCTCTACATAGTCTCCGTCACAGCCTTCAACTCAGCGGTTGCCGCGGCTACTCCAGCCCTTGACTTCTTGAGGCTTGGACTGCAAACGCCAACCGGGCTGTAGCGTTCTCGACAGCCACCATCTTGGCCCGATGCTCCTGGCTTCGCATCCGCGGGTATCCCTAACTCGGGGCTGTCTTCCCCCACCGCCGTCCTGATGAAGAGACAGGCACACGAAGGCGCCCGCAGTTTTCAGATTGGCCACTTTTGTTTCGAAAGGAAATTTCTGCTTGATTGATAAGTCATGGTCGATTGGTGACGTCATCCATGGTCGTAAAGAACTGATTGGTTGATTGGTAACACCAGTGGTTCGGAAATTACCACATGTACGGAGGTGACAACAACGTACCTTTGTTCTTTCTCCTCCTCGTTTCCACCGGCAGATCCCTATGAAGCTCAAATCCGAGGATAAATTCGCGATGGCAGTCTAGGACGACGGGGGGTTGGGATACCAATTTTTCATTGTCCTTGCGGGAAGAATCTGCTCGACTCTTTTCGTGCAAAGAACGAAGGCATGAACCGCAAAGTGAGCTACTTAAGCCGGCCCCACATGCTACCGTAGGCTGCAAAAGGTATCACACTCCTGGACCGACGTTCAAAGCTCGACTACTCGTCAGGACTACTACAGGAACACATGTGACGGTGCCGAAGATGGCGGCGTTGGAACCGTCTCGTCAAGAATTTTCCGAACACGTATGAATTGATTTCGAAATCCCCTTCGTCGCGGAGTTATCGAGCTTTGAAAATCGGTCGAGGGTGTGTGGTATCTTACGTCATGCAACGTATTGCGGCGGACGAGCCACGAAGGTAGTAGCGGGACTACAGTTACTGTACACGTGCGAAGGCATCGATTATTGGGCGAGTGGATGATCGGAGCGACACCTATGTTGGTGTTATGGGCGTAGGCTAAACGTAGGTGCGCATGATGAACGAACACATGCTAGAGCAGGAGCTCTGTGCGTATTGTGCACTGCTACTAGAACTGTCCAAATACGAAAGAAGCACCCGCACCCGCCCGTAGCGCGAGCCGCAGTCGTACACGCGCCTCATCATCCTACTCTAGAGAGCTCCGATCTGCCACTAGTCTATAGTGCATCATTCCCTATCACGTGGTGCCCGAACGTGAGATTCGCGTCGTGGTTTCCCTCAGCTTTGCCCGAACCGCAGACTGGCGTAAGGTTGAGAGTCATCGCACCCCCGTCCGGTCGTTTTCTTAAACGTTTTCGCCACATAATTTCCAGCGCGCAGGGGTGTGATGAATGCGGACCGTGCGATGACTCCGGACCCTGTGTGGACATCGAAATAAATCATTTGGTTTTGATACGGCGCACACCCCTGGGCGACAACTCCGGTATGTTTGGTACTCAGTTGTGCTGCGGTTGCAGGCTCCACACGCAACGTACGCACACGCGCGCGCATCCGTCAACCACAGGAGTTAGACCGGTGGGTGCTAGGTTTGGAGAAATCGCACACAGGGTAATTATCTTGGGAGCGACGAAGATAGAGGAAAAAATGCTACGGTTAGTAAGAACGGTTGAAGCAGTATTCACAACCAATTCTGTGTGCAAAAGCTACCATTTTGTCTATTTGTCCCCGCCGAATGTTGGTAGACTACGTAATATGTCGGTACGAACTGGCTCAACCGACCATTTCCACTTGCCACATGATGACCTTCAAATTAATTGACTACTCCACAGCAATCGCTGCATATAGTATTTCTTCAACTGAAGCTGTAAGTCTGCGAGGTAGATACATACATGCTGTAGGTTAACCTTCTAACGAGCATATGTCCTCTTGCTTGCAGCAACTTCCTTCCCTCGAGGATGTCTACGGCGTGTTTCTGTCCCTCCCATACCTGGACTGCTCCCTGGTAAGCTGGGCGTAGGGCTGGGTCTCTCGGCGGGAAAAGCACCCATGCAGCATCTGACCATCACGTCGAGGACCCGAACAATCACGTAAAGCGACACGAGGATAGACTAGTTCCCGCCAGCCTGCACACATCGATGAAGCTCTCGCCTGACGTGTCTAATTTCAGAATGGAAAATGAGGGCCGGTCTGTAGATACCCCAAGAGTGTTCGATAAACAGCACCAGGTGCGATGTGCGTGTGTGCCCTCTGGGCGATATGCCCGACGGATCTTCCCTGCCAATAATGGAACTGCTTCAGCTATTTTGCTCATTTGAGTATCCGCAACACCTCCTCTCTGGTGTTTGCATCTCTTCCAATCTATCCTTGGTCTCAATAACCGACAGCTTACTTGGTCAATGTGGAAGGGGGCAGGCAGGACGGTATTCTGCGACACGACAACGACACATGCAACATGCAACATGGATGACAAGGTTTGGTTTGGTTCGCTGGAATATCCAAAATAGATACCCCGCACGCGGAGCTTCGGAAAAAGAGTCACGACAGACAGCAGCAACCAAAGAATCCTGTCCGTGGGTCCCCTCCCGGTAGGGAACAAACGCCAGGATCGATCTTGTTCCAGTGCAGAGGTTTGGGGTGTTGGGGTTGCGGTAGCATACACAGGAGGACGGATTCGACAGGAGGGGAATCTTGTCGCTGCTGCGCGGATGCTGATCACCCGAATAGCGTAGGCGACGTTGGTTTTCAGGACGGAAAAATCAGCGATACGCCGCTGCGGGTAGGAAAGCGCCCTTGGAGCGGGCGAGAGTGCAGTAACAAGAAGACATGAGCGACGCCGTGGCTATGGAGGTAGCCCCCGCGACAGCAGAGCCAAGTACTACTCCAGTGGTAGCGTTGCCGCAACCAGGAGTACCTGCCGCGGCTGTTCCCGCGCCGGTTCCACCCTCAAACCAAAACAGCAGTGACATCAGCGGGAGCGCGGGTGCTGCTGGTGCTCCTCCTCCCGCACCAGCCCCCCATCCGGCAGCCTCCGCAGGCAAATCGGAGGATGACTCCAACGTCTCGTGGAACGACATCAAGAGCGTGCAGAACCTGATCGAGCGTTGCTTGCAGAAGTTCATGACCCAGACGGAGATCATCGCGGCTCTTCAGGTGTGTGAGATCATGCATTCATCCGTCTCACGACCTGCTACCGTACAACCGACAGCGGTGCCGTTGGAAAACAACCCCCCTGGTATATTCCGTTTGCAATAGACAGAAAGTGCCAGTGGCACACGGTCCCGTGCTTCTCCGCGCCCAACGGTATGCGTTTAGCGTCCATCACGCATGCTCCAATACAGTATCCTCGTGATGCATCTCGAAACATGCGTACCTTATTTGGGCAGGTCGAAGCAAATGTGGACCCCTCTTTTACGTGCCTCGTCTGGCAAAAGCTCGAGCAACAGGTGAGGAGCAGTGAACCTTCCGTGCTTTTCGTGCCCGTTGACGTCTAACCATGGCCAAGTTTCGTACGTATGTGCGTCGATGCTTGTCGCAGACAAGTTAGCTCGTTTTTATTTTGCACGTGTCTTTCTTTCTATGAGTATTATACCTGTGTTGAAGCGGGCCGTGGCCTTGCTCGAGAGGGATGAATGATGATGTCGTTCTTGATCGCCGAAGGGAAGCTCCTGTAAGCCCCCGTCTGCCTTGTCCCGGCGTCTTCGTGTGTTTAGAGGAATGAAACATAAGGCTTCTATGTACCTCCGTCGAGGTTCATAAACGATCGGCTTGACCCACTCCGTGTGCATGTTATCCCCCACACGCACAACTTTCCACACTGGCCCTGTGTGCCCATGTTTATTTTTTTGCTCTCGCTTTTTCAGAACCCGGAGTTTTTTTTTTCGTACCACGCGCGGCTGAAGATGCGGGATCAGATTGTAGCCTTTAACTACCTAGTGGACCAGCAGGTACGGGCAAGAACAGAAGAAATACGAGGAGTTCAACGGTGGCTTTGTGATCGTTGTCATCATCGCTGTTGGTGTTGGTGTTGTTGGTGGTGGTGGCGGTGATCGTGTTGTTGTTGTTGTTGTTGTTGGCATGGTCGCCAAGCCAACCAAGACCACCATTACTCAACAAATAGTCTTATCAAACGGGCGAAACGAAACTGTAGTGATAATTGCCAACACGGGTGCGATTTTTTTTTTGGCACGCCGTAGTATTTGCCGTCGAGATTTCAACGAGAAATGGTTCCAGCATGAAATGTTGCATGTTGATACAAGTTTTTGCATCTTGCCCATATTGTTGATTGGTCGGGTATTGTTGTCGTGGTTTCTCAATCGAAAACATATTGCGCGTCGGGAGTTCAACTACCTATATTCGAGCATACGGCAGGAAGGTGCTTGATTTCAGTTGACGGACCCCCCCCCCAAACATGAAAGATATTGATGCTACTACATACCTCTTGGTCTTTGTGTATGACAACACGGGGCCCCTTGTCGCCCCGTCCTTGGCAACACCAAGCGCCCCAAAATGCCACCCCATCATATTTTTTTCAAGTGTGTCCCGTTCCCATTTTGTTGTTGACCAAATGAAGGTGTACCTCATCAGAGTCACTTCCACGGGGATGATGCCCCCGGGCATGCCTCCAGGGATGCCGCCAGGTCTGCCCCCCGGGATGCCTCCCAGTTTACAGCCCGGGATGGTTCCCCACCACCCCCTGGCGCAGCATCCGGGGTTCCCTCAAGGGATTCCGCAGGCGGTGCCGGCACCGGGGGGTATGCCAGGGGCTATGCCAGGTGCGTTGGTTACATCGAGTGTTGTGTGTTTTCATGAATACCCTGCGTGCTTCCTCAGCCCCAGCTTGCGAAGGATGCACGAACCCAAAGGTGCAGAGGGAGGTGCCACGTGTGGACCGTAACATGAAATTTACACCTCTGCCCGTTGTTGTTGTTGCCTACAGGGCCTCCCGGAGCACCGGCTTTCCAGCATCAACGACAGGAACCGCTGCCACCGCCACCGCCTCAAATGCCGGTGCCCCCTGCGGCGTCGGCACCAGTCCCGGTGTCGAGTGCAGAAGCCAGCAGGAATACTGCCACTGCTGCTGTTCCAGCGGGGGGCAGTGGGGCGGCCGGCTGCGGTGTGCAGTATCCCCTGCCTGAACCGGCACAGGAGGCTGGTTTCGCTACTGCACCGGTGATGGCGACTCTGCCCATGTCTGATGGGTTGGCGGCCGCGCCTTCGCCTACTTCTGCCGGTGAAGCGGCTGCTGCTGCTGCTGCTGCTGCTGCTGCTGCTGCTGCTGCTGCTGCTGCTACTGCTGCTGCTGCTGCTACTGCTGCTGCTACTGCTGCTACTGCTGCTACTGCTGCTACTGCTGCTACTGCTGCTCCCGTGATCGCCGGCAGTGTGCCACTCCCCCCGTTTCTCTCTTCTGCGGCAGAAGAGGCCGCGGTGGCAGGGGCAGGGGCAGGGGCAGGGGCAGGGGCAGGGGCAGCGAACGTGGGCGGGGTTGTGCCACCGCCAGAGGCATGCGTCGTAACGGCCCCTGGTTCTTCTCCCGCCCCTCTCGCTGATGCTGATGCTGGTGCAGCCGTTAGTGCCGCTGCTGCCGTTGCCGGTGCTACCGTTAGTGAGCCCGGTCCTGGCCCTGCTGCTGCCGCTAGCAAACCCGCTGCAGGCTCTGCCGCTGGCGTTGCCGAACCGCGGCTACCTGCGCAGCCGGAAACGATAGCGGCACCGCAAGACAACGCAATCACAGCAACAGCGGCGATGGAGGCGGCGGCGACGGCGGCAGTTGAGGCAGGGGCTGCGGCGGCGGTGGCCGGGTTCGAGCCGCTGAGCGGAGAGGGCTTGGGGCTCGGAGCAGGTGAGACCTAGCAGTTGGTGGCGTGGCGGCAGGGCTACGGGGAGGTTTCTGCCCTTGAGAGCGAGATGATGAGCGCAAGTTGTAGAAGGAAAGGATATGGAAGGTGTTGCCGGATACAGACTGGGTCTGGGTGCCAGGAGGTCGTACGCTAACTCTAGTGAACCGGTAGCGTTCGAGGCTTGGACATGGTCGCTACGCTTGGAGACTCACTATCCCCTCAAGCGTCAGGAGGGGAAGGGGAGTGGGTAAGCAAGGATTCCCTTCATGCGTCCCTTATCAGAGACGCCCCCCCCCCGCGCCCGAACATCGACTCTCGGCAGTAGTGAAGCCTTCATCGCGAATGGTATTCGCAGCCAGCGATAGCATGGCGGGTATGGGAAAATGAATATGTATGAGTACCCCACCCTCTTGCATACGCTGTGATACGTGACGCCTCTCTCTCTCTGGGATCAGGTATCCCACAAGGGACGACGGAAGAGACTGGTCGGATGGATGCAGGAGGCGCGATGGACCCCGCATCGTCAGCTGCTGCTACCGCTGCCATGGCTGCCGCTGGTCCTGCCCCTGCATCACAGGGCGCCTCCGCTCATCCGACCGCGGATATTGGGGCTGCGGCAGCTCCGGGTGCTGAGGCGATGGACGTCGATGTCCACATCGGCAACGAGGTTATAAAGCCTTGAGCATGTTCATGATGATACAATGGTGGGGCCGTTTTTTTGCGGCGCCTGGTAGTGTCGGCAGGGAGTGTGGTCACTTTCAGGGCATGTGTCGCTAAACAAGGGGGTCGCTAAAACGTGCCTGCCACTGTAAATATGTATTCTACCGTTCTTTGCGGCGGCAGCGCGAGAAAGTTTGGCACTAAATAACGGCCAATACGGCGATGTTGTAGGTGGAAAATTCTCGATGCTATGTAGGCTCGAATATAGAGGAAGCGGGATGGTCGGGTGACGAAAGGGGGGACGTTTGCAGTTATTTCAAGTTTCACGTATCTATGTATGGTCAGTTTGGTGACCGTCGACGACGATAACGACGACTTGATACGGTACGACGGCGATGCTTGTACATAGTTAAATCGGGAGGGTCTGAGAATTTTGCCTCAGGTACCTTGTGTCAGCAGTTTTAGGACGCGTTCTTTGGATCGGTTAGGCTTTTTTGCATTTGTAGGAAATAGACACTTGGCGTCGCAAGGTGTTCAACCTAGACGGCGGATTGCCCACGTGGCAACGCCAACAACAAAGAAACCTCGATGATGCTACTTTTTTGCTTTCTTTTGCCTGAAGATGAAAATGTTTAACGGGAGAGGGCCGCCAACTCGACCAGACCCTTTTATCATGTTGAACCGAATACTCTGGCACTTAATCGTGCGAGTGCCGTGCTTGCACAAGTCAAACATCTGACCACGGGTCGATAGGATCGGAGTCAGTCTGTAGAGAACAAATACAATAATACTCAATTTTTTTGTGCAACCCTCCACGCACGGCAGCACGGTACTACTGTAGTCCGATTCCGTTGAAGGTAGACGTCAAAGCTCCCGGGTTATTTTTGCACTCGCTGCCAGCTCCCGTTGATGGTAGTATCCCTCCACTTGCTGCATGGTGTGCTCCTCTCCTCTCGCAGCAATCATTCAACGTCGATCACACCACCCTTCTCTCTGCTCCATCCATTGAATCAGCACTGTTGTACAGCAGCAGTATCCTGGAGAGAAGAAGCACCGATACTGCTGTGCTACTGCTGTACCTGCTGGGTTACTCGGCCCGAGTATTCCGGCCCACCGTGCTTTCTCTGCCGCAAGAGAGGGAGGGCGGGATGACTGAGTATGCACTGGCTGTATGCTGCCAAGATACCACAAACGAAAGCTCGACTACGGCAGTATTCATTGGTTGTTGGAGCCGTCTCGTCAAGCATCACTTCATTATGGCATCCTCTGTATTTGTACAGCTTGTCAAACAGGACCAGGACGTTGTGGCTACTGCTGCCAAGCAGAGGTGTGAAACCTCCGACCAAAGAAATTTCCAGAAAATTCGAAAAGTCCATCCCTTGCTGGGAATGTTCCTGGCACTGATCTGTCGGTAGGTTCCGCCTCAGATTGTTGGTTGAATGTTGTCGTCTGCAGGCGATGCTGGCATGACGGGCGAGCATCTACACAGCAAGCTCCGGCCCCGACAAAATGAAGCTTTGGCACAAGGCGACCCGCTGGCGAAGACGCGGCTCCAAATGCTCGGAGTTGGAGTCTCCGCTACCGAGGGCACCGGTACAGTCAGTTGGAAACCACAACAGCAAGAGTATCGTTTGGCTCGTAAGCGAGCTTGACGGCAACACTTCGCGGATCGGCGAGAATCAACCCGATGTCAACCAAGAGGAGGAGGAGGAGACAAAGGTTGATCCATCCCGACACTCCTACGGAGCCATGGGGTTCGTTGCCGAAGAGCAGCGCCGGGGTGGGGACAATGCCGACGAGAGACTGCTGAGAAAGCAAGAGTTGGTGCGCGCTGGCGACAAAGAGGAGATACAGGAGCTGCGTGCCTCCTTGCTGCAGTTGCGCGATGACCTCCGGAGGAGCGAGGAGATGGCGGCTGCCCGGTTGAAGGTAGTTGAGGACGAAAAGGCTGCCTTGGAGGTGGCCTTACTGGCGGAGAGGGCGAAGACCGCGAGACAGCAGAAAACCATGCATTTCCTTCGGGAGACAAATATCGAGGCGCAGTCGTTGGAGACCGAGCTGCGAGACCAGGTGGAGACGTTGAAGATAGCAAGTGGCCACGGCGAAGGGCGATTTCAAACGAAAGAGGAGAAGGTCAGGAGCGGGTTGGCACGGCTGGTGGAAAAGGATTTGCGGAAGCAGGTGGCCACGCTCGAGCAGTCAACCGGGCAGCAAGCGAACGAAATTCGAGTTCTCTTGGCTCAGCTGCAGGTGAAACTTTTACTGCTGCGCGTATTTTGTACATATGCATACGAATTCGGTGCCCATCTTCGAAATCGCGGGCTTGGCCATGCAATCTGTTCCGCACCAGTAGTGGACTCAACAACCTGAGCATGTCTGCATCAGCAAACGTCAGCAACGAAAATACCAAGTTGTGGGACTAGATAGCAAGTAGACTCTTTGGAGGTGGTCCTCACTCAAGAATCCCGTCTCGACCGTTATTCTCCTCTCAGTCAGCAGGCAAATCAACAGGCAGGAACTCGGTAGAAATCGACTGCTGTGCGTAGGAAGAATCTGCGAAATGGGGTTCATTTACTGCCTGTGACAATGGCTTTGTGGCCACCCCCATTACTGAAGTACTGCTCTTACGTGATTTCCTCTGCATGATCAACAGGCCGGTCTCGAGACCTGTGCGCATGACTCTCTCAAATTTGTTTTCGGATTGTTTTTGTTAAGGCATCAGTGTCTGTCTCTCGTTCGGTACGTACCACTGCTGTCTACTCGGCATGGCACGAACAGCCACAAGAGTCACAAGAAAGACAAATTGTTTCGTGTTCGAGGAAGGTGAAGGAGCGCCAATAGTTCCGTTGTGGCCAGGCGTATACTCCGTAGGTGATCGCCTCGTATTTTCGTTGTCGATTTCGTTGATGACTATTGTACTGAAAATAGTGTGGAATGAATGTTAGTGAACCTACATGGCGAAAAAAAAACGCCTACGGAGTACAGGCCCGATGCGTGATTCGAAGAGTTCGACCGACACACGCAAAACTAGCGCTGTCTCGCCCCTCTCCCCCAACTATTCGACACCCTTCAAGGTGGTCTAAGCTTACCTTTGTGGTTTCTTCGGTGTCGATCGTTTGAAATGCCAGGTTCTGCAGCGGAACGGGGAACCGCACATTGACAGTGTCTTAACGGTAGGGAGCACCCAGGGTGCAAATGCCACGCTTAGTGCTCTAGGTGACAGCCATCCAGATTGTCCACGGCTACGCGCCGACTTCTTATCCGGCTGGAGAACCCTGACTGGGCTCGCAATAGAGCGAATCTTCAGGATCACGGTGCGCCCCTCTCTATTAGTACCAATAGAGGAAAGCACGCGATGAATATCTTTGAAAGCTCGTGTGTGTGCCGTTTGAGCAGTTTGTATAGCATGGTGTTGGCCCTGCGCCCTTAACCCCGTCTTCAAGGCTGCCCGCAGAACTTTGAATAGCAGGTTGCAGCCAGACGCACGCATGCCTCGGATTTCGTCCCCACAAGGGTCAAAAGTGCATCGAAAAGTAGGGCTGTCCGGACACAGCACTAGGCCGGCGTGTCCTCCTCACCGTTGTTGCTTGCTAGGTGCCGCCCGAACGGCACGCGATTCGAGGTTGGATACCTCCTTGTTCTGCGTGTGACGGCAAGTGATGCGGTGTCAATAATACACTCAGTGATGGCCTTCGCGGGCCGGTTACAAGCATAGTGCCGCGCGTTTAGTTACAGACCGATGCCCAAAACCCCTGTGTGCTCATTCGACCAACGCTGGGGTGCGCTGACCAAGCTTGAACGCTCGCGGCCTGGCCCCTCTCCCAGGTCCCCGCAGGCGTTGGCGAAACGCACGCCGGCTACGTACGGAGTCACGGGAATGTCGTCCAGCGCTTCCATGGAACCTCTTGCAGAAGCACGTGTAACTTTATCATCGACCCGAAGGTGGGGGGTGGGGGGGGTGGTCTTGTTGGCGGTGTCGGCGCCGGTACCTTGTTACTTATCACGTTTGCGGAGTCTTGTCGAGAACGTCTCGTACAGAAGGAGTGGCATGAGCATGTGGAAATAAACCACATGGTGCCCGTCCCCTGCTGCAGCCTTGTGATAGCAGTGCTCCTCAAACAACTTTTACAACAAGTTTTCTGGCGTCGTGTGTGTGGGCGGTGTTTTTCCGCTTGTACGGCCGTGCACGCCCTGGTCGAAACTCACGAGAACTGACCTCTCTCCCACTGTTGCCTCGCCGTCGCATCCAGAAAGCTTCCCCGTGCGGACTGCAGGCTTGCAAGTTATGCAACATTTGTTTGCGAGGCTTCAAGCTCGGCAAGGCCTCCCGGCGGTTCGGACAGGGTGTGTACTTCAGTACCAAGCCCGCCAAGGCCAATGGCTACGCTCAGGGGACAGAGAAAAAGGTGCGAAAATGTCCGATGTATTCAAGAAGAAAGGTCGGCCTCAGTCGTTGGTTTTTTGGGGGATTTCCTAGAACTCCTCGGCAACAAGCTTTGCCAACACATGGAAGATAATCTTGCGTACTGCCGGGAGTGTCCAAATAACCATCTCGAACACCCCCTCCCCGGATCGGATGCTCGAACCGCGAAGTTCTTGTCCTGCTCGTCATTAATGCATACTTTCGTGTCGTTTTCCGTCGCATCGCCGCCTGTGCTCTTTTCAGGCAGAGGGAAGAGGGAAAAAGTTGCGATGTATCATTGTGGCCGACGTGGCCAAAGGGAGGTCGTTCATCACCAAGGACACCGGGTTTGACGGTGGCACCTACCCGCCAGTAGGCCATGACTCCGTCCAGGCTGAGGTGAGGAGAACCGGTGTGCAGGCCATAGTGCCAATGCTTGCTGTTGGTTGCCGTTGTTCGTTGTTGCCTCCTGACGAAAAAGCTGATCGAACCTCGGCTTGGACACGTCCTGTCTCGCAACCAGTAAGGAAAAGGAACCATGCCGCGTGGTCACCGGTTACCCCCAAATAGTTGCAGATGACGAAAAAGTGCTAAGACGCAGTGTTGGCTCCATCACTCGCCAAAGAAATGCTCCCGGTTGTCAGACCAAAATCCAGATATACGAAGAAAAACAAAAATCAAATGGCAGCACAATCCGTGAAGGGAGAGGATAGCCTCACTGGGTAGGCCACGTATTGAACATGTACCATGACAAAGTTGGACAACCCTTGTCAGAGCCCGATCGAAGGCGGGGGGCGCTCGATGCTATGTTGCTGTTCACCGATGCTATGTTGCGTTCGCCGACGACCAGTATCATCCTTCCCCGTCGAGACCCGAAGATGCTGCACGGGGAGGCCATATAAATCGTAACAAGGCAGAAATATCCACATATTTTTATCGCATGGGATAGTCCGTTCGCATCTTTGACAGTAATGAATACACCCCAAGTTTGCGAGTAATCTCGCCCTCAGGAGTTTCAATACCAACGAGGCCAACTACCCCACTCTTCTTCTATGGTAGCGCGTCTCGTATAGCATCTTGACGCTTGTAGTAGGAGGGTTGCAGTATGCTGTTCCTCGCGAGGTTGGCCGTGGGAGAATCTTCGCACGCTTTACAGCATGTGGTAGGTACAACCATTGTTCGTCACAGAAAACCGTCAGCGCTCGGGTTCCAGAGTAAGGTGAACGCCGCCGCTTGGACGAAAAACGTGTGGGGCGAAAAAAAATGCGTAGCCGCCGCCGAATGGTCGAATGAAGGCATGCAATGCGACATCCAAGATATAATACGATGACGGTACGCCTAGAGGTAGGTTCCCTCTATGGCTGTGCATTGCGCACTGCACTCACGCCGTTCTTCGCGCCCTGCAACAAAACACCAACACAACAACAATCGTGGGCAGGTTGGAAAAGGGTTGGCCTTCGAGGAGCTGGTTGTGTACAAGGAGGAGGCCGCGCTACCGACCCATCTAGTCGTCTACAGCCTTCCGTAGACCCCGCCACTACACTCTACAATACAGTGTTCATCATGAGACGTCACGCCGGGCGACAGGATTCAAGCCACCATGCGCGGGATAACTCGTCGGTTGCGTAGTGCCGCTGGAAACACGCACCGAGACTGATGGGTGCCTGGACGGACTGCCATTTTCCAGAATTGTTGTGAAGCCACCTTTAGATTTTACCTAGCACATGAGCGAGTGAGGATACAAGACAAGAGAAGCTGTAGTTCACCGGGAGAAGTTTCACCCGAATGTGGAAAACGAGTTCGTGAAGTTCGGGGCGCATACGAGCTGTCAGGGATTTTGTGTCTGACTTGCTGCGGCCACAACCACTTCCTGATGGGTTTAGCATTCGTTGTTGTAGCACGCTGGTGTTTCGAGGTCATTTCTGGCTGGCTTGTTTTCCAAGATTGGTTGAATGATGGAGGTCGGCAGAGTCTTAGCCGAACGAAACCCTAAGATAGATGTGTTGACGGCAGCTTAGTTTGGGTGACATGACTTCGTGGGACTCTTGAGCCCCGTAGGGAGGGAGAAAATTCCCCAACGCGCGTTGAGTACGCTGGAGATTGTGGAGTCGAGACAAGTGTTAACGCCATCACCATACGCAAGACTTTCCAGGTACAAACGCCGGGGAAAAACCGGGAACGCCTCTTTTGTAGAGAACCCACCGGTGAGGTGTCGGCTGTGCAGTCGGTTGTGCGTCAACGTGTTTCCCCTTGGGGTACCGTCGATGCATGTAAGAAAGCTATGGACGGTGATGAACGAGCCGTGTTTGCCTAGAACATGGTTGTTGCTGTTTCCCGCAAAACACGTGCCAATCCATGAGAGTTAGTGGCTGTTGTGTTGCGAATCATACGCACCATACTGTACGCGACTCGGACGCGAGGAAGGAGGGTAAATAACAGTCGTGGTACGCCTTGCTACAGCTGGTCGTCTCCTATTGAGTCGGGCAATTCGTTGGGATACTCTGATCGTCTCATCTAGGGTTGGAAAATATAGTTCATTGGGTTGCTCTTGTTTGGCCGCTACCCGCATTATAGGTCTGGGATTAACTCGATGTCTGCATACGATTGTTGTCGAGAGGAAGTTGAGACTGGCTTTCTTTCCAATGAAATGGTTCTTTTCACCGGGCGGAAACAACGACAAATGTGATGACAATCGCTTGGAGTCCATCGGAAAAGAAGTCATCGGACGCTCTAATGTAGTCCCTTACAGAAAGCGCACGAATCGCACAATGCGAGGACGCCGGGGATGGTGGAGTCGAAACGCATCACAAAGCGAAAGACTGCCATCTGTTGCGGAGCACGATAACCACTCCACTAGACCACTAGTCAGCGGCTGACCAGTGGTCTAGTGGTTATCGTGCTTCTCAACACCATGGACAAACGTTCTGGTAAAAAAAGGGAAAACCTCTCTCGGACTGACTCAGAAAGGATGCATTCCCAACAACCCGAGTCTCCGTGCGAGTTTCGCACGAACAAGCAAGGTGTTTTGACAAGACCGTCACCACACCCTTCTGTCAGAAGGTGATGTGCAGACATACATACGATGATGGACAGAAGGTTTCACCTGAGCCATTAATTGCCTTGAGACACACATGCGTAAGTGATGGGAAAATTCGTGACCTACAATATACCAGGTTACAACGTTAACCGTCACCTTGTCAAACGGGTCGATTGTAGACAGCAACATACAAAAAAAGTATGTACGTCAAGTACAGACGCGCATTGTTTCCACAGCAGTACGACATCCTCTGGGGTGGCCGTGGCATTCGGTAGGTTTCATCGCTCGTATTAGCAGCCACTCCTTTGCGCACAAGGTATGCATACATAGAAAATGTGTAAAAGTCTTTGATACAACATAATAAACGGTACACTGCTGTAAGATCGTCAGAGAAAATTCTCATCTCCTACTCCTAAAGAAGTTTCCTGGGAACGGTCCTGGCATTCGGTAGGTTCCGAATTCCGCCGCTCGTGTCTCGAATGCACGCTGTCCTTAGAGTAGGTACTACTGCTGTAGCGAGAAAGGCTCTGGTCGCGACAGAATGAAGGCTTGGCACAAAATAACCCACTGGCGTTGGCACAGCTCAAAATGGTCGAAGTCGAAGACTCCGCCGCCAGAAGGATCGGCGCAGGCCGAAGAAGAGACGACGCCACCAGCACAAGCGGCGGCAGCACACATGATCTTGCTCGCAGGTGAGCTTGAGGGCATCTTGCCGCGGGTCGGGCAGGTTCAACCCAACGGCAATGGAGAGGAGGAGGAGGAGACAAATGCTGATCCATCCCGACAATCCTACGGACCTAAGGAGTCCCCGGGTGAAGACCCTGTCGACGAGAGACTGCTGAGAAAGCAAGAAGAGTTGGTGCGCACGGGCAACGAAGAGGAGATGATACAGGAACTGCATGCGTCCTTGCTGAAGCTCCACGACAACCTCCGGAGAAGCGAGGAGATGGCCGCGGCCCGGTTGAAGGCGGTTGAGGACGAAAAGGCGGCCTTAGAGGTGGCCTTAAGAGAAGAGCGAGCGAAGACGGCGATGCAGGAGAAAACCATGCATTTCCTTCGTCAGACGAATATCCAGGCGCAATCCGTGGAGATCGAGCTGCGAAATCAGATGGAGACGTTGCAAAAAGAAAAGAAGAGCCAAGGGCTGTCCCATACAAAGGAGCAGAAGATCAGGAGCGGGTTGGCACGACTGGTGGAAAACGACTTGCAGAAGCAAGTGGCAACGCTAGCGCAGTTGCGCAGGGAACAAGTCGACGAAATTCGAAGTCTCTCGATTCAGCTGCAGGTGAACTTACTATTGGACCTGAAATGCATGTGCAGCAACACCCAAGGGGGTTGGGGGATGGTGAATAATGGAGTACTGTATTATTTAGTAGGCTTGCAACCGATCCGCTCTTCGGAGGATGGGAGGAGCCCCACCCGCTTGATCGGTAGAAAAACAAGCAAAAAGGATGGCGTACCCCGAAGGTACAGTAGTACTGCTGTACAAAGTACAAGTTAGACGGCGCTGTCGAAGGTCTCTCGCTCGACCGACCCTGCCTATGCACTCGGAACGAACGCACACCCATATCCTCGTTCGTTTTGTACAGAGGAAGAAGATGAAGAGCCAATTTAGGGGGTAGAATAAGCGCTGACCGAGAAGTAGATAGTGCCATCAATAGCGCTGCCTTCCCCCCAACTTTATTAGACGCCTGTAAGGTGGGATAACCTTCGTGGTCGCTGATGTGTCGATCGCTCGTATTGCCAGGGTCTAGAGGTGAACAGGGTGCCGCTCATTGGGGGTCTCATCACCGTCTTGAGCAGCCAGGGTGCAAGTGCCACGTTTACCTCCCTAGGTAACGCCCATCCAGACTGCTCCCGGCTGCGGGCCGACTTCTACCCCGGTTGGGAGGCGCCAGGCGGGGTAGCAATAGTGCGAATGTTCAGGATCACGGTGCGGCCCTCTCCAGACGAAATCATGTGGTAAAGGTTATTGATATTGACCAGCTTGGCTGTGCTACGCTTGAGCATGTTGTGTGCTGTAGCACGGTGTCAAGTCTGTCGGTGTTCTTGTCCCCGTATTCAGTACTGATCGCAGAAACGGGAAGCTAGACGTACACACCCCTCGGATTTTCTCATCAGAAAGGTTGTACAAGAATATTTTTCAACAAAGCTTCATCTTTGTTGGAGGAGAACCTTGTTTCAGAGTAGTGAGTCCTCCAATTCGTAGTTGTTTTCTATTTAGGTGGCGCCAGGACGGCACGTTGTCGGAGGTGGATGTGCCTCCTTGTTGTTCGTGTGACGACTACAGTGTAGAGACGCGGCGTCAAGACACAGTGAAATGGCCTTCGGTGGGCAATGCAAACTAGAGGGCCGCAGCAGGCCGATGCTCCGAAAGTACCTGTCTGTCCGTTCGACCAACAACGCCGGGGTGCTGACCAAATTTGAATTCTCGCTACCTGCCTCCTCCTCAAGGTTCCCGCAGGTGTTCGTCAGAAGCATCTAAACTACGCACGGCGGTTGGGGAATGTCGTCCAACGCTTCCATGGAACCTCTTGCAGAAGCGCATGCAACTTCATCCTCGACCCGAAGGTGGGCGGGGCTGGCGAATCGCCGTTTAGGATTTTCCCGATGGTGTTTGTCGAAGTCGTATGCAGTTCCTTTTCGTATTGGTTGCTTGAAATGACTGCGCTACGCATCATGTCCAACATGCTGCTGATGGCCGCAGCCGCGCAGACTCCTTTTTTGCTGTTTCGAAAGACGTTGCGAATGCTGTTCCTCACCACCAGATCAGTGTGACTCGCTCCCACCCAATACGTGTCCGAGCGTGTGGAGATAACCATATGCAGTGTTTATCATCCAACCTCTCCGGCACGGCACGTATTGCAGGTGGACGCCGCGGGGGGGTATTTGTCCGCCCATGCAACCCTATGCATACATGCCGTGGTAAACAAAAACGAGAGCTGAACTCTTCCGCGCTGCCTATTCGCCGTCCTATCAGAACGCTGCCCCATGCGGGCAGCAGGGCTGCAACCTTTGCAACATTTGCTTGCAAGGCTTCAAGCTCGGGAAAACCTCGACGCGGTTCGGGCCGGGAGTGTACTTCAGCAAGGCCGCTACCAAAGCCAGTTCATACGCTTTGGGTACTGAGAAGAAGGTACGCATGTTTCCAGGTACCTATTTCGTTCGTGGGGGCATCTCGTAGATCTCGTAGACGCCCCCAGCAATACGTGGAGCCACCACATGAAACGGTTCTTGAGTACCGGTGGGAGTGCCCCAAAAGAGAACTCGATAACCCCCCCTGGACGCGATGCTCGAACCGCTAAGATGCGTTTTTTCGACCCCGTGTTCACTTTCCTATCACACCCCTCTTGCGGTTTTCTTGGCTTTGGTCCCAAAGGAGAACGGGAAAAAGTTGCGAAGCATCTTCGTGGCAGAGGTGGCGAAGGGGAGAGCCTACATCACCAAGAAAAAAGGGTTTGACGCTAGCAGGTACCCGCCCGTAGGCCACGACTCCGTCCAGGGAGAGGTGAGGAGACGTCATTTCACTCTTACAGTTTGTTGTTGCTGTACAGTAGTAGTTGTTGTTGTTGTTGTTGTTGTTGTTGTTTTTGTCGGCACTGTCTTCTTCTCGTTAAACGCTGACTCATTCCGACACGTCCTTTTTCGTGCACTTCAAGCTAACCACAAACTTGAGCAGATAAGTCAACGTGGGAAACAGGGAGGGCTGGTCCCATTTTTCACCAAGAAGAACTCCCCAAGTTTCAACACAAACCTAGATGCTAGACAAGAAGCAGAAATGATCAAAACCAAACACGCACAAATGTACATGCAGATCGCTTCAATCCGCACCGGATGAGTGTTGCAGTTCATTTACAAACCACAGCGGTTCCAAAGATAACAACCACATGTAGCTGTTCTCGTCCTAACGCTTCATCGAAGCCGGGAAGCGGTAATGAATATTGGTGCACTGCTCGCCGACCGGGTTCTCCTACACCTTGCCCTGCAGGCCTTACCCTGGCTCTATCCCTTAGGGGATGCTTTACAAGCCCTACCAAAGGCGTCGCCGACGAGACAGAAATAGACTAATATATTAATACGTTACGTGGAATTGTATGTTCCCATCTTTGACGGCACTCCCACGCGCCCCGACCATTCCGAGTGAAGACTCCAACGTACTTTAGCGTGTCTCCTGGGATAGCAGTCGTTCGCGACTACTGTAAGGAGTGGGCGAAAGGGTACATGGTGCTGTGCGCGCGCAATGTTGGCGGTAAGGAAGCAACAAAACGCGACACGTGTTCGGGTTATCTTCATCGTAGCTGAAGCAACTGACGTCGCTCACACACAGCGTTCAGTCAAGTGTCAGCGTTCCCAGGGCAAAACGAACGCCGTCCGTTCGACAGAAAAAAATGTGGGCGAATATTGCTTTCAGCGTGACGAAAGGTCGAATGAATGAATCCCATCCAAGAGGTATTGTAGGTTCCCTCTGGCTGTGTGTTGTGCACTGCACTCACACCACCGTTCTTCGCACCGTGCAACAACACAACAACAATCGTGGGCAGGTTGGAAAAGGGCTGGCCTTCGAGGAGCTGGTTGTGTACAAGGAGGAGGCCGCCCTACCGACCCATCTAGTGGTCTACACCATTCCGTAGACCCGCCACTACTACTCATCACGAGACTTCACGCCGGACGACAGGATTCAAGCCTTCACGGACTCGTGGCGTGCATTGGCACAGAATTGAGCGACTTCGGGGCACAGGAATCAATCTGCCGGTGATACGGGAGAGCTCACTCTCAATCCGGAGAAGTCCCAATCACGCGTGGGAGCAGACAATTCTTGTGAATTGCTGGGCGTGGAGTCTGGCAGCCTGGTGTGCGTACTAGGAAATGTATAGGCGATTTGTAGTGATTTACCTTGTGGCAGCCCATCGATTCACTGATAGATGACGTTTCTTAGCACTCGATGGGGCGAGCGGTTACGTTGTTTCCGTCGTTTCCGGGGATTACGATACCTTGTTTCAGTCTAATGGTATCGTTTCGGTTCCGATGAAGGTTTAACATGGGTTCGAAACCTAGGCTGTATTTCAGGTTTCGTGCCGATTGTCTCGATACGTTCACACCGAGGAGCCTGACCTCCTTCGCCAGGACTGCTATCCAATTTGCACTTCGCTTCAAATTCTCCAATAAGCGCTCATACAACGTTCATGAAACGCTCGAACAATGCTCATACACTAGTTGCTCCATTACACTACCCACATCCGGCATTGCTGGTCTCCGTCTTGTAATGCCGTCAATCACATGCTGTCTGTAGGCAAGAGTATCCACGGTCTCCGGTGCATCAAACAAGCCATCCCGCGACTAACATGGGTTTGATTTCGGCTTCTGTTACAGTATAGTAGTTTGCCGCATTTTATTCTACTCACGTCGAGGCTTGGGGATGGGTCCCCTAGTACTTCGGGCTCGATCAGACACCACACCCTTCACTCTCAAGAGAGCAGAGAAAAACAAATTGTTCGGGTCGCCGGAGGGTGACGGCATGTCTATCAAACCCTGGATACGGGACATAAACTACTGCACTTCTTCCCTCCGTTATGCAGTGTTCTCACAGGATAATGCACCGCTGCTATAGTAAGTAAGCCTGGTCTACGGTAAATGTGAATATATCTATACTATGATTAGACTAATAGACAGGTACACGTCGGTTCTACAGAAGATGCAAGGTTTCGGTGGTGGGTTCAACGACATTAATTCCCTGGGACCGTTATTCGGTCGTTTGTGTATGATTTCTCCCTTCACAGGAACACATCGCAGTGAGTCCACACAATCACTGCTGTGGTTGCTGTGGATGGGACACGGCGGTAACGTGGTGGTACAGCAGTAGGGATCTGGAGAACCATGATGATCACACTTAACTTAAATGAAAGGTTGCCATATTTCCTTCAAGCTACTGTACATGCATGCATGTGCATGTATGAGTTTGTACTGCTGTCGGTCGTGTACCGTTACCACCTACTGGTATCGGGGACCGTATATTTGGCAACATGGTGCCTGGTACAACGTGGAAGCTTGATTGACCAATTGTCGACGGCCTGCCAGTAGGCCAGCGAAAATTCTTTTTCTCCAAAGAAATTTCCTGGGGCCGTTCAAGTAGGTTCCGCCGCTCGATGCATACCACGTGATGCATATGCATGCAACCTTCGATTGAGGCGTACGATAGGAACGGCCCGTGGTCGCGACGAAATGAAAGCTCTGCACAGAGTAACCCGCTGGCGTTGGCGCAGCTCCACAAGCTCGAAGTCGAACACTTCGCCAGAAGAGCCAGAGCAGGCCAAAGATGCACTTGCCGTACGCTCGCTTGATGGCAATCGCCCGCCGGTCGGGCAACTTGAACCCAATGGCCATCAAGAGGGCGAGGAGACAAAGGTTGATGCACCAGGACACTCCTACGGACCCAACCAGTTGATCGCCGAAGATCAACGCCACGGTGAAGATAATGCCGACGAGAGACTGCTGAGCAAGCAAGAAGAGTTGGTGCGCAATAGCGATAAGGAGGAGATACAGGAACTGTGTGCCTCCCTGCTGCAGCTGCACAATGACCGCCGGAGAAGCGAGGAGATAGCCGCCGCCCGGTTGAAGGCAGTTGAGGGCGAAAAGGCTGCCTTGGAGGTGGCCATACAAGCTGAGAGAGCGAAGACGGCAATGCAGCAAAAAACCATGCATTTTCTTCGGCAGATAAGTATCGAGGCGCAATCTGTGGAGACTCAGCTACGAAACGAGTTGCAGACGTTGAAGAACGAAAAGAGCCAAGGGACCAACGGGCATTCTGACACAAAGGAGGAGAAGATGCGGCGTGGATTGGCACGGCTGGTGGAGAAGGACCTGCGGAAGCGGGTGGCCGTGCTAGAGCAGTCCCAGAGGCAACAAGTGGGCGAAATTCGAAGTCTCTTGACTCCGCTGCAGGTGAACTAGCTACATACGAATTCGCTTTGTTCTAATGAACAGTGCCCCATCGGAGCCGTTAGAAATTGAATAAGAATAAATAAAAAAAAGACGTTATCACAAACCAAGGCTTGATTTCTTCACAGCGAATTATTACGAAACAAGTGCTGCAGATACTATACATGCCTATCGCGGACCTGAAGTGCTCCGAGCTCAACGACCAGCTGTACCTGCGGTCGGTGATAGTGAACAAGTACCGGTCTGTGCAGGCCTTCAACCGCATGGTTCAGGTAAGGACGCTATGCGTGATCCCCTCGTCATTCCCTCTGAGGGGAAGTCAACAGGAATCGTCAGCATGCTCTAAGTGTGAGGTTCATACGGTAGTCAGTTTCACCACTGTGTACGTTTCTTGTTGTGCCAACGGGTATACATACGCCCGAACGAACAATTCGGGTACGGCATGAAGGCCACCCGTGGGGAGAAATTTCGAGTTGTCAGGAGCCACCAAAAGGAGCCACCAAAAGGATACATGCCATTCGGTGAGGGCTTGTGACCTTCGGACGTTCATGTCTCGTTGCTCAAGGCAACAATAAACCGTACCACAGTATAACGTTACTCGATAAGGAGCTTGTCGGCAGGCGCATGTGGCACGACAACACGAGTGTATCTATGAGCACGCAACCCCTACTCTGTTCTTTTGTACGTAGGCATACCTCGAAAAATTCATTTTTAGCGCTCCAGGACATTTAGTTCGACGTGCGTTTCATTGGCCCTTTCTGCAAAGAAGAAACGTGCAGGTGTACAGGTAGGTGCCGTAGCCAGCGGGTTGGGCATGTGTAGTTCTGTTGCACAAGAGAACGCACACGCTTCCTACTCCCTGCCAACAGACTTGCCGGAATGGTGGGCGCGCAAGTTAGGACAAGCAAGTTGAAGACATATTTCTCTGACCACTTGGCCACAGGCGGGCTTGAGGCCTGATACCCCAGAACGTGCATGGGGGTGTTTTGTGAGAAGTTTCCGAAGACAAGCTTGGGTGTCGCGGCACATCCACCACCCGCCGTTGGTCTCCAGGCCCAGATGGTATACTGTGCACGACAAGAGAAGCGGCAGCCTCAGCTAAAACGCTCAAGCATATGCCCCCAGGATTCATGGATATGTGTCTCCGCCCGTGCTCCCCCAAACCACCCCCCCCGCTCGCGGAGGGACCCAGACTTTGGACTGGTGGGCCAACGTGACTCTCTCAGACCTTGCTGTGGTTTGCCGTTGACGACGCTTGTCGAAGGTCTCTCCTTCGGCCCTGCGTACTCGGATCAAATACCCGAAACCTCGTTCGTGTTCTTGGACAAAAGGAAAAAGAGTTACCAGTACTTGATGGGGCAGAAGTATTGACCGAGCGTAGTGCTGTAGCATGAAGCGTGCTGCCTTCCCCCCAGCTTCAGACGTCCGAAAGGATGGTAAAACCTCCTCCGTGTCTTATCTGTAACGGACGATTCAAACGCCAGGTTCTGCAGCGGAATGGGGGGTCGCACTTCGACAGGATTCTCACAGTCGGGAACAACCAGGGTGCCACGCTTAGTGCCCTGTATGACGGCAATCCCGATTGTACGAGGCTGCGCGACGACTTCTTGTCCGCTTGGAGGCTAAACGGGCTCGCAATAGAGCGAATCTTGAGGATCACGGTGTGTACCTCTCTGGACCCAAATGATAAAATACGTTGAACAGCTACACTACAAAGAGTGTGCCGCTTGAGCAAAATCGTACGGTAGCAAGGTGCCAGCTCTATGTGTTTGACCCCGTCTTCAAGGGTGCTCGAAGAAACATTAGCATCTTGCACCCCGGCACAAATATCCCTCGGGGTTTGTCCCGCCAAAGGTCAAAGCGCATCGAATAGGAGGGCTGTTTGGATGACGCAGCACTTGGCTGGTGTGCCCTGCTATCCCTAGTCGTTTTCTAGACGGCATAACGACGGCACGTGGTCGGAGGTTGAATACGTATTTGGTCGTCGTGTGACGACGACTGACGTCGAAATCAAGACTTGTATCGGTATTCGGTGGGCGATTCGCAGTGCAGTAGACTGCAGCAGCAGACCGATGCTCCGAAAGTACCTGTCAGTCCGTTCGGCCAACGCCGGGGTGCTGACCAAATTTGAACTCTCGCGGCCTGACTTCTCCTCAAGGTTCCCGCAGATATTCGCGCGAAGCACGACAAGTACGCACGGAGTCATCGGACTGTTGTCGGGCGTTTCCATGGAACCTCTTGCGGAAGCACGTGCAATCTGGTCCTCGACCCGAAGGTGGGCTGGGCTGGCGAATGACTCTTTGCCGGAGTCCCAGTTCTTGCAATGTTAAACAGTGAAATCTCAATATATTCGGGATGATGTATGTTGTGTTCGTCGTATGTTGTTCCTTGTCGTATTGGTTACCCCAATCGACTTCACCACACACCATGACCAAGGTAGTCTTCCACGCCAAGTCCTTCCCAACACCGCCCCCCCCCCTACCAGATCAGTGTGAATCGCTCCACACCCAGCACGAATACGAGCATATGAAGAACCCAACCACACGGTGCCGACCCGCTACTGCAGCCTCGTGGCAGCAGTAGTGAGTGCCCTTCATCCAACCTCTCCAGTTGCTGCAAATGTAGACGTCACTTGAGGGCATTCGCCCGCTCATGAAGCCGTATGCATGCATGCCCTCGTAAACAATCACGAGAGAGAGCTGAGCGCTTCCGCTGCCGTTTCGCCGTCCAAACAGAAAGCTTCCCCGTGCGGGCTGCAGCTCTGCAACGTTTGCAACATTTGCTTGCAAGGCTTCAAACTCGGAAAACGCTCGACGCGGTTCGGACGAGGGGTTTACTTCAGTTCAAAACCTGGTAGAGCCAATGCCTACGCTCCGGCGACCGAGAAAAAGGTGCCTATATTGAACTACGTAGTAGTAAGGACGGCCTCGACCTTTTGTTTGTGGGGCATCTCGACGACACCGTTGGCAACAAGCTCAGCCGACACGTGAAGCGGATCTTGTGTACCGTTGGGAGTGCCCCGAAAGACACGTCAACAACCCCCCCCTGGCAACGATGCTCGAACCGTCAATATGCATTTTTACGGCCCTGCATCCACTTATTTCCTATCATACCCTCTTGTGGCCTTCTTTGCTTTGATCACAAAGGAAAACGGGAAAAGGTTGCGATGCATGTTTGTGGCCGACGTGGCGAAGGGGTCAGTCTTCCTCACCAAGAAGAAAGGGTTTGACGGTGGCACGTACCCACCACCAGGCTATAATTCCGTCCAGGCTGAGGTGAGGAGAATTGATGCGCATTATTTTTTTGGTTTAGTGTTTCTTTGGTTGTCGGTGCTTTAGCTGTTGTTGCTTTAGTTGTCGGTGTTGTTGTTGTTGTTGTTGTTGTTGTTGTTGTGGTCGCCGACGTCGTCGTCGTCGTCCTGTTCTTCTTACTTTAACGCCGATCTGGCCTCCGTCGGTCCGACACCGCCCCTGCCATACACTTCACTCAAGCTGACGCCAATAGGTGCAGAAAAGCATCGTCCAACGGCGCAGAGATCGTTCCGTCACTCGCCAAGGACGGCCCCCAAGTTTCAGACCAAGTCCAGACAGGCAAAAAGAGGACGAGGGCAACACTATCTGTACAAGGAAGCAGATCGCCTCCCCGGGTAGATGGAGTTTTGGATTGAAGGTTACCTCGTCCGAACGCTCCATTCGTTCAATATTGGCTACTGTTCGCGGACCGGGCTCATGCTTCCCTAGCCTTAACCCCACCCATTTCACCCTAACCTTGGGGAGGCTTTGCAAGCTCTATCAAGACCGTAGACAAGACACCGTTACCCGCTCAGCTTGTGTTATGGGATGAGCCAGTGTATGTTCCCACCTTTGACAGCAGTACTCCCGCACGCACAGGGAATGAGCACTACTGCACCTACAGATCCCATTTTTGCGCCTCAAGTAGACATCATTTGTGACTCGGAGTTGCTCGGAGTGGGTGAAAAGGGGGCGTTGTGTTGTGTTGCACACAAATGTTGTCGGCGGGAACAAGCAATTACACACACCATTTTGGGCTATCTCCGTATGTGAAGCAATTGACGTCGCGAACGTAACTTTGCAGTTTCAGGTTGTCAATGTACGACGAACTCCGTCGATTCGACAGAAAATGCGGGAAAATAATGGTTTTCAGCCTGACGACAACCCACATGGCCAACGAAGGAATGCCATATCCAAAAATATATTGAGATGAAGGTACACGTAGAGCTTCCCTCTGGTTGTGTACACTGACATGGCTAATGGCACCCTGCAACAACGGTCGGCAGGGCGCCATCGAGGAGCTGGTTGTGTACAACGAAGACGCTGCCCTACCGACCCATCTAATCGTGTACAGCCTTCCGTAAAATCCGGCCAGCAAACTTCACAAAACTCATGGCGAGACATGACGCCGGACGACAGGATATACCAGATCATGCGCAAGAGGCACTCGCTGGCTGCGTACATGTAGTACCGCTGGGGACACGCATGCATCGAGATTTATGTAGTAGGAGCCTCCATGGACGTGTGGCGCGCTTTCGTCCAGAATTGGCCGAAGCAACTTCGCGGAATGCTTAGAGAGATCTTGACACAATTGCATTAGCGACGGAGCAAGAGAGACTATTCCGCGTGGAGAACTTTGAATCACACGTGGAAGACGAATTTTGTGAATAGTTGGGCGTGGAGTCTAGCAGTCTGTGTGCTACTTGGAATGGAAATATCAGTGATTTCGTTTCTTCTTGCGGCGGCCAGAATCGATTCACTTGTTATTTTTTTGCATTCGATACGACGAACGGGTACTCTTGTTTCCGTCTTTCCGGAACTAGGACTGTAGTGGCTGGCTTGCCTTCGAATAGACGGTAGGAGGACGTATGTAGTTGGATGAGGTCAGCCTGAGAGACTTCGCCGGACAAGCAAAGACATGGTGCGGACAACTTGGTTGGAGTTTTGGAGGAGACTCGGTGGTACGCGCAGTACTAAGAGTACGTACACTGGAGGTATGACAGCGGAGTCGAGACGAGCGGTAACGACGTCACAAAACAAAAGACTACCATCGACAAAGCGTCGAGGGTAAACGAGAATAAAAGAGAATCAAACGGAGTGAGGACATGGCTATGCGTCAACCCTAACACTGCACTGCTCTTTCCGCGTCCTCCCTCCTGGATACGGAGCAATCGATCCTCAAAAGCCGATCGCGCACCGATCGGTTCGCCAGCACGCCTTTGCGGTTAACTCGATCGAACCCGGTTTGCTGGTTTGCGGAAACTCAGGCCTTCTTATGTCGTGCCCACCACGAAGAGTGACACCCCGGTGACCCAACGACAGCTACAATAGATACTCTCGCCGCTGTGGTGGCAGCACCTCTTCCCATTCTCCGAAGTTGTCTTCCCATTCTACAACACGACACAAATTCCAGATGGTGATTGTCCGGTTGCTTCAAGGTCGGCCCTCTCTCAGCGTTGTTCCCTTGGACGGGGTCTTAACGGTTCATAACGGGCGCTCATGTTCAACACACGCATCTGGACGAAAAACCTGCCAGGTGGTATGAATAGAGCGGGCGAATACCGCGACGGTGACCACACTAGCCGGTCTTCGATCAAATCACTCACTCACAAAACGTGTCCCCACTATGAATGTTGTATCATCCGCTAGGGGACGAACAAGCCAGCCCGTATGGTAGACACTTGTTAGAGTACAGTATTCAACTCGACCACCAGATCGCCGTGTCACTGTGCATCTCTAACCCTAAGCCACATACAGGACCCCCACCAAGGAACACCAGCAAAGGAGATAGATATCAATCCTATCCCGAGCTCGGCTCTCGTGGACATCAAGCCAATCAACGAAAGGGCTCCTCCAACCTACGACCACGACCCTTACGTGTAGAGAGAAACACCAAACAACCAACAAGCAACCTAGCGTAGTGTGCGAAACAACGAGCAATAAAAGCAAAATATGAGAACCAACACCGCCCGCACGCGCGAACAGCGGGTGCAACTACCCAACCGAAGAGACCGGAAGGAGGACAGCAGCAACACAGGCTCAGCAGCACTTGGCAACCCTCCGTCCGTGTTTTTCGCTTCCCGTAAACTCACCCAAACAATGTGCCCAGCAAAGGACACTCCGCCCCAAGCAGAAAAAGGCAGGCGGAACTTTTGAACAACGTGCATGCGACGACGGGACTCCTTGATGAAACGCAGGAGCCGCAGCAGAGGCATCTATAGGACAACTAAGAAAAACAAAGCAGATCGAAAAAAACAGCAGCCGTCTTGTCTGCCCCACATCTCCAAGGGCGATCAATCACCAACAACCAAAAATCGAATAAATACCCGGGTGTTTGTCTCACCTATTACTTCTCCCGAAAGGCATGCAAACCACTAGCGCACAACGTAAACCGTCTCTACATACAGAGAACCACGGGGACTCCCACCTCCTCCAGCCGAGCGAGGGAAAGGAGACAGCGAGAGGGCGGGGGGGGGGGGGTCTAACCAGCTACAGGAAGTATTCCGCGGGTGCAGGGCTCTTCTGTGGTACCCCCCGTACATCCGTCGGTGCCGCCTCGAAGATTTTGAAGCTCTGCATACCGAAGTGTGGGGGGGGGGCACGCAGACAGGGCGCCACGAACGTTGATGATAACTCCACGAGCATGAGCGATACTCTTAGAAAAATAGGGGGTGTAACAAGATGGAAGATAGCTCTTGCCCACGAAAGAAAAAAAGAAAAAAACTCCGCACGCCAAGGGCACTGGTCTACAATATGCACAGTGGAAAAGTAGTTGAGACTATCGTCGACGGATGTCTAAGGTCTCGAAGCTTCACAAACTAGCCTATACCAGTTTCGTACTTGCTGTATCATTTATGCTGAGTCTCGTAGATTTCGTAGACATGGCGAGGGCATTGAATAAAATAAGCGTTTCGTAAACCGTTGGTCGGTCTCGTAGATCTCGTAGATGTCGTAGAACTTGGGCGAGGGCATGGAAGTATAGGGTTACCTGGTTCAGGTTCTCGTCGAGCTCGAGGATAGCAGCAACGTTCCCGCAGCGGTAGCAGTAGTTCGGTGCAGACCACACAGTAACAAGGGAGTTGAACATCGACCGGTGACCTTCCATCACGAGCTGCGGACGAGCGACACGGGAGAGTTTCGTCCAAGTGCAGAAACCGCACACAAGACAGCGGATGGATGTCAATATTGCGTCCCAGAACTGAAAAATAAAAACTACTTCGAAGTACTCAAAACAAAACTAAACACTAATCTCAAATGGAGCACCCGCCACACTCCGTACTCTATCCATGGTTAAAATCCATGCTGGCCCGTAAGTCGAGCATAAACACGGGCTTTGGCTGCACGGACGCGGCAGCCGCACCTGCACCGACAAACAACAACATCAGAGCGGCAGCAGCAACAACAGCAACAACACCGCCACCACCAACAACAACAGAAACAGCAACAGCAACAACAACAACAACAACAAAATCACCTGATGCGCCCTCGCGATGAGCTGCAAGTCGTTGGTCTCGTTGAATTTATCCACAACGTCCCCGCCGAAGAGGTAGCCGGCCCCTCTCGGGCTAAGCCCCCACCCGTCGATTTCCTCCGGGTCCGACCACAGCAAGTCGCACATTGCCCCGTCGTGCGGTACCTCCTGCTTCCGGTCCAACACTCGGATCTGTGCAACCAACAGCGCGGGGCGGTGTTCAAGAAGGACAGAAAGCGCTGCGGTCGTTAGCAAAACCAAGCCACTTTGAACGAGCTTTCGGGGACACAACACAGCTATTTAGCTCAACAGCGAAATTCGGGAACAACCAACCCGCAAGTCGAGGTCGACCGGGTCGTCTGTAAGCTCATTGTTAGGTCTTCCGAAAATTTCAACAGTCTCACTTGAGGCCGACTAACGCAGCATCAGGCCTGAAGGGTCACATGCGGCGTTGTTCGGTGTATGAGAGACACCAAGCACCTCGTGGTGTGGGGTGTCAAGGCAGTCACGCCTACAAGACGCTCGCCTTCAACTTAGGGATAGGGCTATTGGGTTGATCCGGTGTATCAGAGACGCCAAGCACATCATGGCTTGGTGTACCATACCAGTCACGTCCACAAGACTCTCGCTTGACCCTGTTGCGTACACCACTCTACTCCATCACTCCGCTGCTACTGTAACGTAGCACCTGGATCACATTCTTGCTGAAAAGGAACAACAAGGAAAAAAAAAACAAAAAACTCGCCTGATCCAATGTGTTGATGCTAGGGCTGAGGCCCCCATGAACGCAAAAAATCTTGTCATCGATGATGGCCGACAGGCTAAGGTAGTCGAAGATGTCGGTGCAATACCTCCACACGTTCACCGACCCGTACTGATGACGGCAAGTTTAACGGTTTAACAGGGTCACCAACACGGTATCGCATCGAAACGAGAGCAAGTGTCAGATACCACGGACAAACGGAGCACTAATAGTCATCGAGCAAAAGTCCGATTCGACCGAGGGCAATACTACTTTCAATCGGTGGAATCGGAATCGTTCGACGAAACAGCAACTGGGTTGATTTCGAGAGATAGCAGCATGTTGTACACCGTGTCCGAGGAGGAGCGTGCGACTTGAAGCATTCAAAATAATCGATGATCACGCAACATAGCTTGGCGTACAGGCAGCTCGCTACCCTACGTTAGGTCATCGTCAGGAGTCCGAGTCTCACGTCGCGATATTGGCAAGCGGTTTGCGTGCAAACAAAAACAATGACGCGAAATGTCGTCGAAAATGAAGAGCGGTGAGAAAACACCTTGCCGACCAAACCTTAGGGTTACTACCTCCGAACAGCTGCTCTATGCACATGAAACCCGCACGGACGCTGTAGCCTCACAAGAGCACCACATACGCACTTGATACCGCATAGCCCAACACTTTTACCGAGGGTGGCATGGACCAAAATAAAACAAAACAGAAAAGGCAGGTCAAAGCATGTGGTATGATGCATGTTGTAGTCACCAGCATGTGGTATTATGTATGTTGACGTGGTAGTCACCAGCATGTGGTATTATGTATTATGTATGTTGTAGTCACCAGCATGTGGTATAATGCATGTTGTAGTCACCTTCCGGAGACACTCATCGTAGAAGCCGTAGACTTGGGTGATCTGCCTCGATTCGTGATTGCCTCGAATCAGCGTGATCCGATCCGGGTATCGCACCTGAACACAAACAAAGCGCGGTCAAACCCGTTCATTAGAAAAAACGAAAATGTGCTACGGTATAATGGTCCAAACAGTCTTCACGCCCTTTCACGCGTAGGGCTAGCGGTAGGTTAGCGTTGGTTAAGGGTTTCGCGGTCTAAGCCTAACCTTCCACACAGGAGGAGGAAACTACCGCACCTTGAGCGCGAGCAGCAAGAGAAAGGTCTCCACGCTGTAGTAGCCCCTGTCCACGAAGTCCCCCAGGAACAGGTAGTTCTTGTCTGGACACTCGCCCCCCACCTTGAACAGCTCCACCAGATCGTAAAACTGACCATGGATATCCCCGCATATCTGCGAAAGGCAAGGCAAGCAAAAAACACTGTTGTGAAGTCACCGCATATTCACATGGATTCTTTGGATAGGGTTAGAAGAGATGAGCTACGTCTTCCTGCACTCTCTCCTCTCGCATGTGTGGGCAGACACCAGGACCACTTCGAACTCTTCTCTAGTTTGTCCTGGACGCATCATCATCCGTGGGGATGGTGGATAGTGGCGACATTGGTAGCTTGTGAAAAAACACAACGGATGACGGGGCACTACTGCAACAGCGGCAGGACTCCGGCAACGGTCAGCAATAACAGCCGACGTCTCAGCATGTCTACAGTGACGCTCACACTGTATATCTGCACTCAGCAAGGTGAGCAACAAGAGCATGTGGACGATCCACCCGATACATCGTGAGCCTGACCGTGTGGACGTTTGCGACGTATTCTCGTATGGTCGTCCTTTCGTTGCGCCCATATGTTCATGTTTTATGTACACACACGCTTCTCGCTGGTTCTCCGCAACGCATGAGAGCACTCGTACGATGATCATGTAACGCTTCATACTAGGCAATAAATACTGTCGTATATTGCATGCTATGACAGGTGCATCCACCATCTGGTTCTTCGACTACTTGCACACTGTATGTGGTATACCCACAATGACAGGCGCATCGACCATCTGATCTTCGACTCTACTGTACTATACTGTATGCTCACTGTGACAGGTGCATCGACCCTCTGCACGTTGCTCTCGTCGACCAAGATTTCTCTGGCCTTTTGACAGAGCTGTTTCACCTCGCTCTCCTTCAGGTACTCGCATCGCTTCAGACGCTCGATCTACAGTACCAGCACACACAGCCAGAGAGAGAAAGAGAGCGAAAGAGAGAGAGAGCGAGAGAGAGTGAGAAACAGAGAGAGTGAGAAACAGAGAGAGGTCAAGGGAAAGGCCATAAAAACGCCCATGTGTTGTCATTTCAGAACATCTTGGAAGGTAAGGCTGACTTCTTCACCCAAACGAGCCAATCGGGACGGCGACCATCACACCGTCAGAGAGAGAGAGAGAGAGAGAGATCAGAACGGCTAGCACGGATATTCCCACCGCCAACCCCGCCCTAGTGGTACCCTTCCCTTCGGCTAGCCGCGCGCCCCCCGCCGAAAGCACCAAACGCTAACGTTTGAAGAGTCACCGACCTTATCACGAAAAACCAACATTTCCAAGCAGCTGATGTGTCAATCGACGTGCTAGTTGACCCAGGGTTGCAGCCAAGGGGTCGGCTCGACCGTGGCATCGGTTAGGCCGGTGTCATTCGGCGCGGGGTGTCGACACAGCCAGTGGCAGGAATAGTGGTGTCAACCCACACACCGGTCGAGAATGCGTTACCTTAAAGAAACATACCAACGGCTGTAATCTTGTCCGCTCTTGGCCTGTTATAGCTACCTTCGGGTTCGATATCGTCATCAAGCCCGTGCTCGAGTCGACAGCACAGAAGCGCTGCAGGCAGCAAGCAGCAAGCAGAAGCTACTCTTGTTTCTACTTTGGGCCGCTAACCCCTGCCTTTGATTTGCTGGATATGACGGGCAAGGTTCTCCCATGATGAGATGGTGATGATGAGCTGATTCGCAAGAGAAACACCTACACCGCCATCAGCAACAGCAGGCGACAGCAACAGCAAACCGCAACACACGTCATACCGTACATCAACATCGGAGGTGCCGCGGTAGGCTTTTGCAAACAAGTGCATGTGGCAGGGTCTAACCCCCAAACGCCATATAACGGCTTGCCGTATGCAAAACATACAACCAACCCTCCGGATGAGTTAGCCAACGGTCAACATCGGGTCGCCGTTGGCTTCTATTTAGGAACAGTATCAGCCAAAACCACTCCTCAAACTCTGCTGCTACAGCCGAAGCACGTGCAGCCGATACACCCGCGACGGCCAACACGCTGATCGAAAACTTGAGAGCCTAACCAGCAGCGAAAGGCGCCCTGCGGCTTCGATTCACCGCACCTGTTCGTCAAGATCGCTGACGGTAGACATTTCGCCGCCTCCCAAGAGCTCGGTCGTTGATTTCGCCGCCCACAAGTCCCGCCGCAACTAGAGGAAGAATTTACTGTCAATTTCCTTCACCGATCACCAAGTCAAGACAACGCCAGGCCTGACGGAGCGCGATTCCATCCAGCGGGACGAAAGTTGTGGGCATGTGTGTGGGGCGGGTGAGTGCTCGTTCCATCAACTCTTGTCCCTGTCTGCATTTGCCTTCGGTGTACATGGGCATCAGCCAGGATCAATCACCCAGGATGTTTTCGTATCTTCATCTTGATCTTGTATTGATGACCCACCCATTGTACAATGTACCGAGGGCGTTATCATACCACTCAAGAAATTAAGCTCTTGCTTTGCTCGGGGCTCGTTTCAACAAGCAAAAATTCCTTTTTGCGGTACCCCAACAGTCAGTGACTTCATATGCATAGGGTTGGGTGCAGGAATGCTTATGCTTACCTGAGCACAAGTGGGTGTGGTCAGCTCCTCAAGCTACCCAAACAGCGACCGTGTAGTTCTTATTCTTCACCGAGCCCCTGTCTGTAATGGCCGAGCTCTTACGCTTCGAGCCTCTTTAACCTGAAGGCCTTAGCTGTCAGGATGTTCTTCTGGGTGGTGCGAGTGGCACTTTTTGTCGGTGGTCTGCCCCAACACCCGGGAGAAGCGGACTGACATGCACCATTGCCATACATAGTATACGCAAACCAAACCCGACAATTTAATCGAATTTTGGCGCGCTAGTGTTGGCGGTGAAAAGGTTTTTCGCTTTATTAGTATTTTCTTAGTATGACCCAACGAATCCACTCTATCTTTAAGGAAAGAGTCTGAGAGATTAGCAATGAATTCATAGCGTCAGAGAAAGCTACCTGTTTTTCGGTTTTTGATACTGGTTTTTGAGAAAATAAACACAGCCAACTTATGTTCTTTAATCTTCAACGTGCGGAAGCATGCTCGGCCGATACGTCTTCATTTGCTTTTTGTATATAATCAGTATGACCACAACGAATCCATCTCTATCGAAGAAAAGAGTCTAAGATAGATTAGCAACGAATCTATAGAGTTAGCGAAGTTCTGTTTTTCCACCATTTAGGAACATGTGAACCGGAACGAGATCCACCGCAAATTCAATGACATATACGTAGATGCAGAGGGGAGGGAGACACGCCTCCTTCCGACAACGATATTCTCGAGCATAGAGCGCTGTAGGTATGGCAGCAGCGGATGCAAAAAATGAAGTACAGCAGTAGCGAGTCACGGATGAATGTACAATGTACGGCACAACCGCCGTGTCGTGCCGTCGGTAGGTAGCGCGTAATGCGCCGCACACGCGAAAAAGTGGCATCTCTTCAGGTGGACGACACCAGGTTCATTCTTCAGAAACCACGACACTGGGCCCCAACGCTACGCTGCAGCAGGATGCAAGCGGTAATGCCAGGGAGGTGATGGTGGTACATCACCCGGATGGGAAAAAAACGATAACCCTCTCTGTCGGTCTGCGAAAAGATAGAGAGCGTTCGTCTCAAAAGCGCCGAAAAAAACACCAGTACATACCGTATACGACACAAGATAACACACCCCCTGGACCGATTTTCAAAGCTTGATTTCTCATCAGTAGAAAAGAGTCACAGCGCCGAAGACGGCGGCGGCGTTGAAGCTGTCTCGTCGAGAGCTTTCCGAAAACGTTTCGTTTCGTTTATGCACCCTCTTCGTCGTGGCGTAATCGAGCTTTGAAAATCGGTGTACGGGGTGTGTTATCTTGTGTCGTATACGGTATAGGAAGGGTTTCCTCCGCAGCAAGCAGGGAGTTGTGCCACTGCTACTCTATATATATATATATTGTAGTCTATAATGTTGTGAGAGGTAAATAAAATCCCCGCGCATCATCCGCTAGAGAAACTCAAACGTAGGGACTGGGGACGAACACCGCGCGGCATACGCAAAGGGACGGGATGGCGTGCCATATAGAGGGATGGGGGCACACCCGGGCAATCGGTCGGCGATTGGGTAAAGGCGGGCTAATGTAGACGCCCGTTGTACAATACCCCCCATCGTCGTGGCGGCAAAAACGTGGCGCACACGCCGCACGCACAGCAGTACCCGACATTTGAAATAAACGAAACACTGCTCTCCGAGGTGATGGCTAAATAAAACCTTGATTGTGTCGTCGCTGCAAGGGCGTCTTCGCACTGCACGAGGATGGGGCTTGGCGGGGGAAGCACATCACAGCAATTTAGCAGCCAGCACGGCTACGGCTGCATGTACTGCTGTGATACAACCGCCCCGCGTGCCAAGTCAAACCCTACGTTTTCCCATTTCCATTACAATTTCCAGACGGTTTTTGCGGTGTTTGCGATTTTTTTCGACAACGACAACAACGCTTCGAAGTAAGCGACGCGTCGGACGCAAGGGCTATCAGCTCAGGGCTACAGCACGGCAGTCATGCCTACAGCGAAGCAACAATCTGTGCTGCTGCTGTGCAGACACACAGCTGTCCGTATGCAGCACTTGCGCGTGGCGATTGTTGCTCCCACCGTTCTTGCTTGGATGCGGCGTGCGTGGAGGAGCACAGGCACAGCATCTGCTCTGGCCCGGAGCACCTGCACTACTGCTTCTGCTCCTGCCAAATCCAAGCGCCCAACAGGCTCACCGTCCACTCCAATGGCGCCAACCAAGCAGGCTTGCGTTTATCTCGCCAGAGCCACGGCAAAATCTGCTGCTGCTCCTTGCTGCGGCAGCAATTTCCGCCAACCAGTCGCACACTTCCTTCCCCGCTGTCCCTGTCCGCTCCTTGCACCCCGTATCTCTTGCTTTCTTCTATGCCCGGTCGCAACCGACAAATCTCCGGCGTGATCCTCGCTGCTCGTTACTCCGGAGGCTTGCTCTCTTCCGTCTGGTGACACAAACCGGCGTCCGTGGTTGGTTGGTCGCTGCCCTGTCCACGCTGTCTTCCGTCTTCTTCTCTCCACCCGCCCCCGACATTTGCGATGATTCACGGTGCTCCCTACGATAGGATATTTCTTGCGGCCCCCCCAAACCAGCCCCGGCCCGGAGCTGCACACAGCAGTTGCATCGAGAGAGGGGCTGGCACGCAGCAGCAGGCATTCTACCACGCGTACGCCATCTCTAACTCGACAGACATGAGACCTCTCCATCACGCCATTCGCGAGGTGGTGCGTTTCGGGAAGGTAAGAGAGAGAGGAAGCAGAGAGACCGGAGAAAAGCTACAAAAACTGGTTCTGTAGCACCCTGGATGTGTGTGAACGAAAGTTTTCATGTTTTGCCTCGTCATCGATCTGTTCAGATGCGTCACCAGTCTGTAGGGGCTGATGGTCCCTGTGAGTCCTGTGACCTTGTTGGGGGGGGGTGGAGCCTCAATGTGACGGAGGCCGTTGCCCCGATTCTACGATGCTATGCTCGTGCTCCCCGAGTATTGGCTGTTTGTGCTTCACCGACATTCCTCGGCAAGATTCGCTCTCAATTCTGAACTCTGATAGAAATATCTGTGGATGGATGCGCTCATGTTGATACAATAGCAGCATCCACACACGCCGATGACAAGGGACAGCGGGAGATGTGGGCACGTAGTTTGGGTTGAGAGAGAGGGGCGGGAGGGATGAATGAGGGTCTCGATGGACGGGGATCCATGATCCATGACGCACCTCATGCGTGCGGCTCTCGCAGAAAAGAGCAAGCAGAAATATTGTAGTTGTAGCTCTCTGGTTTTCATCCGAATTGAGAAAAAAACAGAAATCTTCAAGTTGCACCAAAGTCAGCTGTCACACAAATCGATCAACCAACGCAGCTGCCGTGCTTCTGTAGTTGACATGACATGAGATACCACACCCCCGGGACCGAATTTCATACATAGGCTCAGTTTTATATGCATACTGCTTTGTATGCAGAAAACGAAATGACCGCGCCCAGAATAGCGGTGTTGGAGCCATCCGCGCGTTGAGAGCGTTCCGACAAAAATGTACCCACGTGATTTGGCACTCCTCTTCGTTTTTGATGGTGGCACAGATTGTTGTTGTTGTTGTCTTCACATTAAAAAACCGTTCCGGTCCCCGCTCAGTACCTTCTAATGTCCATACTATACTAGTCCAACTGACGCAGACGCCTTCCGTGGTCACAAGCCAACTGCCCCACCAAACGGAGCGGTACACCTTTCAAGGAAAAAAACAAATTTCTATGATAGAGATGGATTCGTTGTGTCATATTAAGAAAAAAAATATTAAAAATGGGCGGACAATTTATGTACTCACCAAACCCAAAAACAGCGGGGAGATGTCCCTATATGCTGTCTGGGAAATCGTAGACATACAGGTACTTTCTGACGCTATGAATCCATTGCTAATCTGTCTCAGACTCTTTTCTATGATAGAGATGGTTTCGTTGTGTCATATTGAGAAAAAAAAAACAAACAATTAATCCCCAAACCCAAAAACAATTTAATGCATGCATGCATTTTTTATAGCATTTGTTTTTCTATGCATACCCAACGAAAAGAAAAAAGAATATACGTACATCAAACTACTGCTCTGTGTGTGGTATCTTACGTCATGTCACTTACGGTAATTTATGCCTACGTATGCATGTGCATAGACCGCTGTTGATGGGCAAGCGAGGGGCCGTGTGCGTGCGATGATGCTTGACGTACTACTGTACCTCTGCCCTCGAAGGAAGACCTGGCGTATTTTCCTCCCGTCAGCCTCACAGCAGTGTACTGCAGGCGACGGCGACGGATGGCGAAGCAACCTATGCAGTGTACTGCATGGCACACGGTTGTAGATGCGGCTCATCAATCTTTGTATGGCACTACTGTACCCTGTTCGCATCCAGCAGTCGAGGTACCAGTATCTGTGTTGTAGTATACCGGATTGCGCCCAGATAATTCACCGGCACGATACCGGACCCGGGCACTATTCAGAACAGGGATATCTAGGATTTAGTATTGGAGTGGACACTCGTGCCCAGAGATATGACCGGCGTCTTACCGGCACTATGTGGCGAACCGGCCTAAACAAGGACCTCTTCTATTCTCTCTGCCTTGTCATTCCATGACATCGGCCTTAGCATTCCTTGACATTCCTTGACATTCCTTGACTTCCCTTGACATCCCTTGACATCCCTTGACATGGCCTAGGTGGACGTTCAGCAGGTTGGTGGGCGACGGCGTATGGGAGGCCTCTCGCTCGCATCGACCGTAGACAGGAGGAAGAAGGACGGCGTTGATGCCAGGCGGCCGACAGCGGCGATGGAGCTAAAGCGGGCCGCGGAGGTGCAGAAGTGCGCCGATAAGGTGGGTACGATTCACTGCTGTACTTGTATGTAGTTGGTCTACGGTAGATAACACTCCCTATATAGTACTCCGGTCTTCTCTGGACGGAAGACTTTGAGCCTGCCTGGTGTATCACCTCATGGTGTCCACTGATGTTTTCTATCTTTCGCCCGCGTTGTAGTCCTATCACAATCGTGACCAGGTCTTAGAAAACGGTAGAACCAATTCTGTGGTTTCACGTTATCTTACAGCAGTAGTTTATCTGTATCTGACGTCGGCAACCAAGCCGAGATTTGCCAAGTGCTCTAAACGCCGGCCTCCCACATGACGCCGTACGGACGGAAGAGTCAGCGGCAGCGGCGCAAAAAAGAAAACAATTAGCGCGTACCCGATCCGCCTGCATCCCAACGGGAGAAGGGACTATGTATGATATTGTAGTGCACCTCATGGCTGTGGAGCAAGAGATGCGCATACGTTGGCTCCACCTCTCGGTCTGACTTTAGGTTCTCGCGTTGCCACAGCGACACGTTCCGCGCGCATTATTTCGACGATTGCAAATAGTCTCGTATTTTTTGTGCACGACGGGCCGGCTCTCGGCGCTTGCCAGCCTTTGTAGCTAGATACGGTTGTGCAGCTACAGCGTGGCTACAAATTCTGATGACCGGGTGGCGTTCGTTTTCTATGACGTCATGGTCGTTTTTGTGGGCCGAACGTCCGATGTGTGTCGACGACAACGTCCAACGCGCCAGGGAATAAAAAATGAAACACAATGATACACCGCCTACGTCCTGGTGTTCATGCACACAGTATTTCTGTTCCCCTTGAGGTTTGGGGTAGCGAGTTCGTTCAACACATCTGAACCTGCAAACAATGATCATAAAATGAGATTCTCACCGCCAACCCTTCACCTTTCAAGATCCCTACGTTTCGTGGAACAATGTGCCATCGCCTCGATGCCGTCGAAAGGCGCGGATGCCGTGCGCTCTCAATTGCCTCCCGAAAGTCCTCTCCAACCCTGCCCAACACTTTGCCCCTGCTTGTGTGACAACCATTTTACCGCCGTCGCCTGTTACCAGGGGTGGAAGAGCGCGCTAATCTGTCTCGGAAACATGCGCAAGGGAGGCGTTGCTCCCGGGTCGTCGGCGTACAACGTCGCCCTGAAGGCGTGCGCAGGGGCGGGGGAGTGGGGCCGTGCGGCCGCGCTCGTGGAGGACATGCAGGGCTCCGGCGCAATCCCTGACGAGACCATAGTAGCGGAGATCAGGGCGGCTGGCGACAATGTCGTTGTGATGGAACTTGGGGACAATGACGACTTGTCGTGCGATTCTGGTGGTGATGTGTCGTCTGTTCTTTCCGGTGCCGCGAGAAACAAGGGGGGGGAGAGCGGTGGAGGCATCCAAGGCTCGATTGCGAGCATGCACACCGCCGCGTTCGGGGCGGATGTCGCGTGGCCTAGCCGGCGACCCACACAGGATGATCAAGCTCACACAGGCAGCAGCACTGACTGTAGCAGTATGAGCAGCAGCAGTATGAGCAGCAGCAGCGGCAGCAGCAGCGGCGGCGGCGGCGGGAGCAATGGCTCGATCGCCAACCTGCACAACATGGCACTTGGGGCAGATGCCGCGTGGCCCTCCCGGCGACCAACGAACAGCAACAACAGCACGGGTACGAGCGGCGGCGGTGACTTTGGCAGCGCTGCCACCAGGGGCTCGTCAGGGAGATCTTTGGGCAGCATCGCGTGGGGCGGGCGTCGATGGCGCAGCCAACACGATGAAAACGAAGATGAAAACGCCTCCTCGGCGTCTCCTGCGACAAGGGGGGTCCGTGTTGTCAAGGAGGGGGGGTCACCGGCGTGGTCATCCGTGGCTTCGGCCCCCTTCGCGGGGTCTTGGGGGGACGATTGAGAGCAAGCTTCAGGCCCCCTTTGTCCCTGCTGTGATAGATGAAATGTTCTTTGGGTACGATAGTGTGTAGCGTGTGAAGAGTGGTTTGACAGGTGGAGCTTCTTTGGTGGCGTTGTTATTTTGTTTTTTTCAGCTACACGAGCAGATAGGGCGGCGTGATAGTTGAAGTTGAACCACGGTGTGAAGGACTTCCGGTTCGCGAAAGCGTCCCCTCTCGCCGCATGTGATTGTGGTTTGTCCGGAAGAGTTGGGAGTTGTTTTACGTGTTGGTTTTGTGAAGCTCGCGTTGTGACCGTTCGCACCGTGGTGTGTCCACCCTTGCCCTAGCTTGGGTGGGGTGGGTGAGTCGGACATCACTCGGGGAGGACGGGATACCGAGTCTTGCCACGCCTTAGCATCCCTACCTGGCCGAAATGCCGAGACGAGGCGCTTTCGTCGATTAACGGGAATTGTTGCTTTCCTCCTCCAAAGCATGAATCTCTGCGAGAGATGTCCAGCGAGCTGCAGCTATGGTGATCTTCCTCCGCCAGGAGGCCGAGGAGGGTGTGTGGGGATTCTCGGTGAGACCTGAACTATGAACTGAAGTCTTACCATCGGACGTTGGATAGCGACCCACGGCAGTTCAGACCCGTCGCCGAGATCGGGTTGGTGGGACTGTTGTTGTTGTTGGTTGCCGAGATCCTATCGTTGTCTGCTGTCCTTGAATGATTGTATTCGGGGGGCGATGGAATTTGGCCCACCCTCACATGGGGCGCAACACCCATAGCATAGCATAGCATAGCATAGCATAGCATAGCATAGCACAGCACAGCATAGCATACCATGCCATCAGGCGATCGGTCTGATGGCTTGAACTATGGTGTGGTTTTTGAGTCCCGCCCAAGGGCAGGCCGAGTGGTAGTCACCGGGCGCGGGGTGGGGTGTTTTCTTAGATGCCTTGAGGGCGACCCAAAGGTGTCATGAACAGTGGGCGCCGCCACCAAAGCGCAAGCACAAGTCGTAAGAGGCGTTCGCGATAGGCAGGAGGGTGCCCTCCGGTAGCCTTCGCAAGGGTATGTATCTTGGTCTTAGTAGTAGGGGGGTTAGGGTTAAGTGTAAGGGATAGGGATACGAAACCCCCTCTACTCTCATAAATTAATTTTTAATCCTCGAGAAGGCTGCCCGGCTTGTATGATGTGGCCAAAGCAAAGTATTCCTACCTTACGTATAACTTTCTCGTATGGTCTGGTTTGACCCCCGGAGCTTACAGTAGTTTTTTTTGACGCCCCATGTTTGCAGACGGCACCTTTACATTTCATTTTGAACATCGATATATATCGCGACTCGTACGACGCGATGACGCACCCTGACAGGAGAACGAGCGTTTTCTCGATGATGGTGTTTTGCGGTTTCAACAGCTGAATACGAAACGTGTCGTGCCCAAGGGACACAACCAGAAAGTGTGAACGACCCCAGCTGAGTGCAGTGGCTGCTGTCTAGAGTAGCAAATAAGTGTGTTTGCAATGGAAAGCTCCAAGTTTTCCTTTTTTAGGACGACGCCGTTTGAACAAAAGCGACGCCACCTTCGTTTTGAGAGGGTATGGTGTGAGCTGCCCGGCAGCAGTAGCGTGTTTCCCCGCGACTCCAAGCCCAAGCCAAGAATATCGGCCTCGCATGTATGTGTCCTTTTTGCGAGCCAAACGCATACATACATACCAGACTGCTAAACGCATATGATACCATATGATACCATATGATACCATATGATACCAACTGCTGTAGCACGGCTGGTGCATGTCTTACTTTGGAACTAACGGATGATAGTTTCGGAAGCCGCGCAACGGTCTGCGAGAGAGAGTCGGGCCGTGGAATGACGGAAGGGCACACCCTAACAGACTTAACCCTTCCCAAGGTCTACGGTGTGCTAAGAGGGGGTTATTGTTGATGTCCAGTCAGGCGGGCTGGCAATTACTCCTCGGGTTGCCTCGAGGGCAGTTCGGCCCGCGGTGCTGTTTCTCTCTTTGTGGCAGCAAGCGTTTCTACACACTCGTTCGAATGCTTCTCTTCTTCAATGACAAAACGACGACAAACAAACGTGTGCTGCATGTACTGCGTTGAAGCATTGGAAAGATTACAGGAGTTACCTCAACCTCCTTTCGCCCGGAGAAAATCGCGGGCGCGTAGTGAAACAGAGGTCTTATTCTACACGTAGTAGGATCGACACGGGACCTTTGGCCGGTTCGGGTTGTTCTGCCCGGACATCAACCCCGTGTTCTCCGGGTTAGCCTCCTACTACAATAGCCTAGCCTGGACATATTGCCCCCGATAACGTTAAAGCTGCACAGGCAATACTTCGAACTACATTCTTAAGCTTGGACGGGCACAAAAACATTGTCTTCCGTGTGCCCCCTAGCCGAGACCTGTAACTAGAAAGTCGCGACCACCAGCATAATGTAGGCGAGAGATGGTTTTGACGGTCCGATGGCAAGAAGGGGTACACAAGTAAAACAGTACATGGGCCACCTTTTGTCACCTGCGAAAACGCACGATCAAACCGCCTTTGCTTCTTCATTGTCAGTGTGCACATCCAGATTCCGCCGACAGCTCAAGAAAAAGAGTATGACAAACGTGAAATCACGGACTTGTCGACACAGCCGGGAAAAAGCAAATGTCTGCGTGGACGTGTAATCTCGATGCACAAACACGAGGATACAGATCAAGTCAAGATCAGTAACTCGGATGCAGAAAGGAGGCACAAGTTAATCGTCACCAAACAACATCAAACGACACGTTCTACAGACTTGCCGTGCACAAACCGTGGCGCTCACAACTAAATAACACAACCCCAGGGTCAACACCCAAACGCACCGCGAAAACACCGTCCCAAACCCCGCACCTCTACCGAACCTCCCACACGAGCACCATCGCTTGGACTACACAACTCGGCTCCTCACAAGCTGTACGGACGACGGTGCAACAACGCACCGAATACACAGAACAGTTTCTAGAGCCGGAATTAATCGTCACTGGAAGCGGGGAATCTTTATTACATGTACGATGATATCGAGCAAACAAATGTAACATCCTACCAAACTTGCAGACCAGACGCGGGAACAGTGCCTGACTCAATTTAAAATGTGAACATAACCCACATCAATCAACACCCACACATCCACCGAACGATCCCCAAATTCCCAGCACAATTCTCTCAGCCACCGTAATCGCAGGAGGATATTCGCATTGCCAACTTGTCGTCGTCCACCTCTTCCGACATCGACAGTCCCAACGCGGGTGCCAGTCGTACGGCCAACAAATGCTTACACTGGACCGCAAATTCGTGCGCCCAGAAAAATCACCAAACAAATATCGTTTTTTTGGCCACGCGCAAGCGAGAACCACGCGAAAGCAAGCGAGCGTGGGGGGGGGGATGATACGGGGTTAAAATATCACATGTGCGGAAGGCGAGTCAAAGGACAACACAACCGGATGGTTTGGTTCTTGAGGTTCTGAGGATGAAATCTGGAGGGGCTCCACTCGGCAGCAGCAGCAGCAGCAGCAGCAGCAGCAGCAGCAGCAGCAGCAGGCATCAACAGATGGAGTGGTACTGTAGCAAGTCCTCTCACCACGACCAAGCAATGAACGGACGAGACGACCTGTCCACACGACTCCAGTCAAACATATTCTGCGATCAATGACGCTGCTCAGCTGGACCAAAAAGAAGAGAAGAAGCACCTCAACCGACCACCAACTGTAACACGACAGTCAAAAGCGGCGCTGGAGAGGCCTTCCGTATGCGCTAGTAGTAAAAGCCTCAAGCACTGAACGCCACCCAGCACACCCCCTCCATCTCTCCCACTGTTTTGTCCGCGCCCCGTACACTCACCAGCACGGGATGAGGCGCGCCTCTTCTAACAAGCTCTTGAAAACTCCTGCTTGGACGTGACGTCACGCGTTGTTTCGGTTCGGTTTGTTTAAATGTCCCCGGAACCAAGGAGAACGAAGGGTCCAGGAATGTTCGTATCGACGACAGCGCACCGCGGCAACCAAGCCGTCGCGGGCAAGTGGAGACACACACAGATAAGAGAGAGAGAGAGAGAGAAAGAGAGACCGACGGACAGAGAGAGAGAGAGAGAGAAGATGAGCCGGTGAGGGGAGGATGTACCGCGCCAAGGATGGCGCTGACGGTGGGGTCAAGGACAGGCAGCGAAACGTCTGTCAGAGTACCTTTGACGGACGTCGACAAAGGCCACTGTTCCTTCGTTCGCCAGCCGGTAGGTGCCAGTGTTCTCTGAGGCAGATGGAACGTGCCCATCCGCCGACCCCCTCCTCGCTCCTTGTTGTGTCGATGACAGTCTTCCCCCCGAGCATCCCTTACCAACAAGAACTGTTTCCACCCGAAGCAACCCAGTTCATGTTTGATTGTGGAAGTCCGCATACTTTCGTCACAAAACAACGAGCATTAGTCACGGAGTCAGCAGTACGGCAACTCCAGGAAAACAGTGGCGATATGTCTATCATATGACAGATTCTCGATCCCGCGCGGGCGTAGCTCCTATGCTTCGAAAACGAAACACTGGCAAAAGCTCGTCGTAATACCATTTAAAAAAAAAAACACCAGTGTGTGCATATGTACTCCTGTCTTTGCCGGGAATGGAAATAATCGCCCGCGATCCGCGTGGAGTACAATAAAGAGAGCATCACCTGCAGGAGCAGTACTCCCTAAGGCACAGGTACGGAGCCCCTCGGCTTCCTTGAACGAGCCACACGCTCCTGCCCGTGTTTCTCGCCACCACCTTTACCACTCGAGACTTATCCAGCACCTGTGTCGGAATCGCGCACCAGAACACACACACCCGCAGGCCTAAGCAGTAAACACCTCGGCAGAAGCAACGTCCACACCAGCGGTGGTTGTTCAAGGAACCGTACAGTGCCATCCTAGGCTTAAAAGAGCACGACTCTATTTAATAGTGTTGTCCTTCATGTTTTTGCCTAAAGTTGGTGCAATTTTCGCGACGTTTCGCGCTCTGTGCTTGTATTCTAGTCCCGCGGTTCCCGTGGTAAGTGTTGCCTTCTTGCCTGGATGGTGCTTTCCACCAGCGGACAATCCGAGCAAAACAAGAAGTCCAGCACTTTCAAGATCTCGGCCTGCGCTGCTGCCGCTACTGCGGTCGCATCTCGGCCCCTGGCAATCCCTGTAGAGCCCGCCGCTCCGACGCCGCCACAGCTACCACTAGCGCTACCGCTATCGACGCCTCCGCCGCCGCTGCCGCCGCCACCACCGCGGTCCCCCCCGGCGATACCGCTGGTCATGGCCCGAAGGTCGCCGCCGTCACTTCCTTCTTCGCCCACGGCCAGCGCCCCATCATTCCTAACGCCACTCGGAGTGCCGTTTCGATCGGAAGTCCTCGGAGTTGTTGGTGTTGAAGAGGCGTTGTTTCCCGTTGTCAGCGGGGTGAAATCGTCGCTTGAGTCGGAGCCGGAGCCAGCGCCGCCGGAGAAGCGCTGGGGTTTGGAGTGGAGTGGAGTGGGGAAGTGAGATGGATCGCCGATATATGTATCTCCCATTGTTCACGATGATTGATTGACATGTTGTTGCAGACCAATGAAACAGCAGTAGCTCAGGCCACCACCGAAACAACACCGTTAGTTTTATACAAGCCTTGCGTTGGGCACTGCCATCGGAAAACAAACGTGTCCTCCTCAGAACAGAGATCATCATCGTTGGTGATATACAGTAGTTTTTCGGACTGAACCCTGGCCCCGGCCTTAACACGTCTCGTCGATACTCCGGTCGTGTCCGTAAATGTATCCCATAAGATATCGCATCACCGTCCGTGGTCGACGGGCCTAGATTATGCCTAGAACAGGTTTTTGTTCTCGCTCGTTGGGATCACCGTTCGTTCCGGATGACGCATGGGACACACCGTAGGCTGCATAAGATACCGCACACCCTGGGCCGGTTTTCAAAGCTCGATTGCTCTGCAGCAAAAGCACAGTGGGGGTGCCGAAAATACTGGCGTTGGAACCGTCTCATCACGTACGTATTCTCGTTTGATTTTGGCTCGTCCTCTTCGTTGTGGAGTGTGCCATACTTGTAGAGCTTAGCCTAGAAGTCGCTCCGAGCCTACAAGGTGGGCCAAGCAATAATTGAGAACCCCTCAAGATATTGTTTGAGAGGTAAGAACCATGTGACAGACAGACGGACTGTTCGGTTTTTTCTCAACCAGAGTGGGTTGATGGCCTTACTGCTGTAAATAGCCAACACTGCTGTATTGAAGGGGCACTTCGGGTGTCAAGTGCTTCTGTTGAGATACCAGACCTCGGATGACGATCAACCATCTTCCGCAGCAAATCCCTAGTAGATGGTCGTTCGCCATTGACTCCTCCTAGCTGATACGTGGGAGGCGGATGTGTACTGAGCTGGGGGGGGTGAAATGGGGGGGTGCTTACTTCCGTCACACCACCTCCAGAACCAAGGGCACTACAATACCCATTACCTGGAGAAATGCATCCAGGCAAGCCACTCGGTTGACGTTCTCTTCTGGTCTATACGCGGTTGGGTCCATCGCGTTCGCCACCTCTCGCAGAAAACAAAACGGGAACAGCAGCCGGGTAGCGTTTTATGCGTCTCTCGCCTCTCGCCTGTGTACCTCCGGGGTGCCGGCGCGCTCTCTCACTCCTCACTCTCTCTAACCAATTCAAAAAGTGCGGCGGGTTCAGTTTTGTTTTGTGTCCGTTCGTGTGGACTGTTCTAGTTTCCCCGGGCCAGTACAACTCCGCCGAGTGTTTTCAGAATGGGCGGCCCCTGCCTAGACACAGACAGCGGTGGCACGACTCGCGCTCCCTCTGGCTGCTGCTGGCTCCAGGTGGTGTGATAGCCATGCTTCGGGGAAAGTTTGGCCAGATTGGCAAGGACTTGGGCGATGGACACATCACGATGGACGCGTTCCAGCAGGCAAGATGATCATGCAGACCAATCGTGTGCGAATCCGTTGGCCAGCATCCGATCAAGCAGTAGCTTTCCCCACGAGCACAGTGCATCATGGCTTTCATACAGCAAAGAGGACCGTATGCATGACCAAGTGCTGCTCTGTTTAGGCAGTGTCGGGCTCAACAATTCTACGAAGCCGCAGGGGGGCGACCCGATGCTGCGTACCTGCTGTTGTTTCGAAACACATGAGCCGCTAGCGGAACCGTACTGGTGAGTTATCGCCTGAAAGGTGTGTATCCAACTGCAAGACCATGAGTCAACGACCTACAAACAAGTTTCCAGGGACCTTTTTGGCCTGCTGTGTATTTCCAACGGTGGCCCCTGCGGCCGTCATGTTTGACACGAGCTTTGAGACCATCACTCGCGCAGTGCAACTTAGTCTTGTCGTACAGGAAGACGAAGGCGTTTACGCCACACAACGATTATGGTTTACCACTTGCGTACGTACTCGTAATCACCACGAATCCGCTGGCCAACAAACCCAAGACACATTGCTGTTCGCCTCTGCTCTGTGTGTAGCGCATCGTTGTTGACAATCACCGGGGTTCCTCTATGCGAATATCTCTTCATTCTCGCGTCGGCTGCACCGCTGCATCCACTGCTGCACCATGGTATATACAAGTAACAACGATTCGAAAAGGAAACGCCATGTATGTTTTGCCTTTCAACCTCTCGAAGGGTTCTCACCCTTCGATTTACACCGAATCGAACCCTTTGCTGCTGTTAATCTTGATACCGGTTGTACATCATTTCCGCAGGCCGCTTTCCGAGACCACATCCGCTCCGGAGAGCGGATCATGTTCCTGGCTTCCATGGGACGACTCAAGCACAAACGAACACGGAATACCATCGCTGCAGAGGAGACTCCGCGCTCGTCCTGCTCTTCCGAGGCTGACCCGACAGCAGCCCTTGTGGCAGACCCAGGGATTCCCAAGACCACCGAAAAACACCAGACCAACAGTGTCAAAAATATCGAAAATGAAGCCGTAGTCAAGGGCGTCTCGGCCCCTGTGCAGTACGCAGAGACCCGCGGTGCTGCTGCCGTGGGAAGAGCTTCAGATTGGCCTGGCGACAACCCAGGCGTGAAGCACATGAACAGCGGCAAAGCTGTGGGAGACCGTAAGGGCTTCCGCACGCCGGCATGGTCACCTCCACGGCCGTTGTCACCTACTGCTAAGCGCAACGACCAAGACGCTGACTCCCATCCCAGAAACCACGGTATTTCCAACGGTGGTGACGACCTTTTGCCAGCGAAGGGCCCCACTGAAGGGAACCTTGGCGCAAGGGCAGCGTCCTCGGGTAAGTTGGGTTGTCCGTCACCCAGAGCTCGGCAGCACGGCCGCGGCCGCCCTCGGTCTGCTTGCACGAGGGGACACCGGTCTCGCTCACCCGGAGTCGCAATGCTCAGCTCGGGAAACCCCGATATCAGCACCAAGTGGGCCGAAACGGCGGGAGATGTTCCGCTTCAAGTCGGTCCAACTATAACAACACCCCTGGCCAAGGACGTAGCGCATCGTGGTATAGCATCACCGCCCGCCTTACAGCCTCCTCGTCCAGCATCTGCGAGAGTGCTGGAGCAAGGGGCGAGAGCAAGAAAAGCGCGGCGAGGTGTGAACAGCAGCCCGGCCACCATTGCGCGTCGAGGGGTCGACAGTCGTGGACTTGGCCGCGGTGCTAGGCGTCCTTGCGGTGACAGTGGAGCTTCTCCTGCACGTAGCCTCGATGGGAAGGACGATCCAGCAAGGCGTGAAACAGCAAACGTCTGCTACTCTACGGAACGAGGATCATTCGCCGCAAGCGTCTTGAACAGCGCGCGCGCCTTGGCAGAGTACGACCTTCGACCCAAAGGCGACGGCTCCTTCACCGTGCCTAGAAAGGGCGACCAAAGACCCAAAAGCGCCAACGCTGCTACCGCCACTGCCAACGCAGCCACTAGCGCCAAGTTTCCCACTGGGGAAGACGTTGCAGCGGAGACTCGACTCATGCCCGTCGGGGCTCTCCACCGGGCCTTCAAGGGTCGTCGCTTGGCGGCGGTGCAGGCATGGGACCCGCTTGCCGCAGCCGCCGTCCGTGCCGAAAGGGCGGAGAAGATGCTTCGACGAGCCCTCCTGGGAAGAACTAGGGCCAACAGCGGAGAAACAATGCCGGCCGCAGCTCCTGCTCGCCGTCGGCCGCGCAAAGCACCAGGGACTAAGGCAGCAGCGACAACTACAACAGAACACAAAGTTGGCGGGATCGGCAGCGACCGGGGAGGTGGAGTAGGAGGAGCAAGAAAGTGCTCCTCTGCACGAAGAGTCGGTGGTCCGGCTGAACGGGCTGTTGGAAGGGGAGGGAGCTTGGGCGACAGCAAGAGCGATGCCGATTGGTGCGGTTCCCGTGGTTTGAGAAGGGACGCCAGAAGGTGAAAAGAGAGTCTGATACAGAGGTAGGTGCAAGCGTGTTTAACATGGCCATCTATCGCAGGTAACACCAGGAACGATGTCCGGCCTACACCGATCAAAAATACTGCTTTTTTCGCGTACGCCACCCGATGTACCAATCCTTTCGAGGCAGGGAGCCGTCAAGAACTGAACTCGCTCGGACTGTTGCTGCCGTTGAGAGGATAGGAGGAAGCCGGATTGTGCACGGTGCCGGGGCCCCTTCCAAGCCCGCGGTGGGAGGTACCCCCGCTGGCGCAAACGATCTCAGCACCAGGAAACGTGATGCCGTCGAGGGTGGGTCGTGCCCATCACGCGGGTCAATCAAGACTTCCAAGTCACGTTCGGCGAGCGGCTCCTCGAGAGAGACAAATCCTATGCACACGTGGGGCACTGCACGGACGTCTACGGCGACTAGCCGCTCTTCCCGCTGCCCTTCGTCACGACGGTGAGAGCGAGCGGTCGGTCTGGAGTGTATGTGCGTAACCCCACCTTCAAAGCGGGGTGGGAGAGGATAGAGGGCTGATTTTTTTTCAAACGTCCGGACTCGGAATGTGACACGAGTTTCAGTACTCAAGGGCAGGGAATGTCTCAGAGATTGTGAAACGCTAAGCTCGAAGGTGCAAGGCGTACGCAGCTCGTGCCATGGCGTCGTAGGAAATGATCTTGGTGAACGTCACGTTGATGATGCTCCAAGTGCAACAGCGGTGCCTCTAGCCCTATCCGCAACTTGTAGTCCCTATCTACTACTCACGCCTGCGTCTCGCGATCGTTTTGATGCGACAACCAACCGGTTTCAGCGGGTCCTCCGCGTGCAACAGTGGTCGCGGCACGTCGGTATCGGGCGACGAACCGGTCGAGATGAGGCGAGCACGGCTGCTGGCAGAGTTGGAAGTCCTTCGAAGGCGAATGCACGACGCGGAAGGCTTGCTGCGGGAGGTCGACAGGTCGCGTCCAAAGCAAAGGCGAGACAGCCAAACTCTTGACGAAGATTGCCTCGTGTGAGAGGAGAAAATGTACCAACTACCAGGTAACTAGTTATTTTTTGCGGGTGCGACTCGCCGGAATCCCTGCCATGTGTGGGATACATTCGAGCAAGCAGGTGAGGTGGGTCGTCAAACAACAGGAACAAGCATTTCAGAGAGCGAACAAACATTACGGAGAGAATCTCAACCCGAAACTGTGCTCACCAAAATCGCCTACTTTCCTGCAGACCCCAGACGGCCACACACGCCCCCCGAAAAAAATCGGTGGAACAACGGTCAGAGGGAGGGCGCGCGAGCACGGTGGCCACGGCTGGCAACACTTCGGCGAAATCATCCGCTGGGTACGGCGCCTTTAATCTCGGTGAAAGGGTCATGGCACCACGGGTAGTTACTCATCCAGCGAACGCCTGCCTCGATCAGTCCTGATCTCGGTAGATGTATATTGTTGGTTGAACCAGGTTCAGCTACTTTGAACGCCTGCCTCGATCAGTCCTGATCTCCGTACATGTATTTTATTGGTTGAATCAGGTTCAGCTGCTTTCAAGCGTGTCTGCTCGTGGCTCTTGTCTTACGGTCGGGCGTTGAGATGCTTGGACGCCGTTGGTTGTTGACTTCTTAATGCCCTCTGCTTGGTCGTGGTGAGCTTTCCCAAGGTGGAGTGATGTATCTCAACCGTTTGCCATCTTCCTTGTCACCGCTTTCCTCGGGTAGTCAAAAGGTCTGGAGGTCCACTAGCAGGGGTAGGTGCTCTTGGCGATCACTTCTCTATCAGTCGTCGCGGATGATACCCATGCAGCCTTCTGCTTCCCACGGGTCGGCCCGTACAGCCGGAACAGATAAGGCTCGTTTCTAGAAATTTCTTCCGTCATCTGCAGTGACGGTAGTGGGAGACTCTGCGCATGGCCAAGTCGATAGGGCCTAGGTATCGAGTTGGATTTGGCACGCTGCCAAGGAAAAAAGCCCAGACGAGATGTGGTGGTTTGTTTATATTTTTGAAAATCTCGTGGCGTTCTGAGTAGCAGCGAAAACAAAAACGTGGAGGCTGTTTTAGATGTCATCACAGGGCTGGAAGGCGGGGATGCATGCGTCGTCCCCTCGCTGTGTTGTCCGAAACAGGGGGTGCTTCATAAAAAAAAATGTTTTCGAAGTGTCACTTTTTGGCTATACAGTATCGGTTTAGAGTGAATTTTGCATTGCAGTTTTGACAACGTTTAAAGACTGGTCGTCTGTCACGAAAACGGATAGTGCTCATTTGTGGCAGCTCAAACACCAATTTCCCACTAACTGGGGAAGGTTTGCCGACGAGAAAATGCTCGAGCACTGGATTCCTTCGGTACATGCCCGCCTTCGTGTTGCCAGATGCCAGGTGGGTATCATTCATGATTCCTCCAGTCGAGGCGCGCTCTCGCTCGCCTTCATTCTTGACACCGGCATCGCAGCATATATCGAGCTCAGTGCCCGAGTATATTACCGGAGTACATGTAGTGCTGAGACAAAACCCCCGATTGATTCACGATAGGAAGCACGTTCTTCCTAGGAACCGACAACGCAAGAAGCTATTTAGCGCGGCATACGTGTTTGGGAGCTCGACGTCGTCCTCGACCAAAGAAATTAAAAGGCTGTCGCGCTAGTTGGCGAAGCGTAATAAGCACTGTTGTGGACGCTGAAAGTCTTTGAAAGTCACTCTCGGAAGCGGTTCTCCCATTCTTGGTTTGCACCGCTAACGTTAATTCACCCTTGAACGTCTCTCTCGACACGTTGGAACTGGCGAACCAATGCCCACAGTATACAGGATATCACGCCACATTGATACCATACAGGCAGCAGCATGGGGTCGACCTGGAAGCTGCTGGGAGGCACGCAAGCATCACACACCACAAGACAGGCCGCATCGCCTCAACGTGGGTATGGGTTCCGTTCCGCAAACGAAGCTCTGGCCGCCTGCTACATCCTCTTGGCACAAAACACGCAAGGACTCTACACCCGTTGCTTCTGTGGTTGCCTGATACCGATACAGCACGGGAACCATTCTTGACGCGGGCACCATAGGGGCAGCGTCGAAAGGAGAGGACGGCATTGCTTAACCCATAGAACACTGCCGATTACTGTTCAGTGTCGACGACGCAACCCCCCTCCTTCTCAAACCCTCCGAACCGAGGTTTTCCAATGGCTAGGCAGCAACCTGAGACGCCAGCACACAACGTTGTTTCGGACGCAGACCCCCTTCCAAGGCTTCGATAACAAGGCAACAGATAGACTACGTGGATAATGGCCTCGGTGTAGCTAGATTCGTGTTTACCATGCGGCAACGGCCCTCCCCCCTCGTTTCTCCCCTCGGACACCCACTCCGGGTGATGATACGCGAGCCCTCGTGGCACCGCTCGCGTGAGACGCCGGCCGGGCACTCTGCCGTGAAGGCGTAGATGGGTTATCGCGAGTCGAAAGGGACGGAGGACAGTGACAGAGGGGCGGTTGGTTGCGGTGTGCTGGCTGGGGTAGCAGCAACTCTACCTGTGGAGTGGCGGCTGTCATGCCGCTATGTTTCGTTCTGTGTAGAAGGCGGCAGCCGGGTATGACGCTTGTTTTCGATGCTTCTGCGTGCGAATCGTTTCCGACCGCGATGAATAGTTGTTCCTCTTGATGTATGTTGCAGCACAACAAAATGGGTTAACTCTCTCATGCTCGGACTGACCACACTGTCGACGAAACTCGGCCAATTGCGAATGGAACATACCTGCCATGGAGTGACGAGCCAGGTCTGCAAGCACGAAACTTCCACCCCATGGAGCCCACGGGCAAGCATTTTGCAAACTACAGCTCAAGGAATAAATAGTGCCGGCATCCGATCCCTGCAACTCGGGTCCGAGGACCGACAGAATGTCTCCGCTCACCCTTGGCATCAAGGCATGCGGCTTCAATCCGCTCCCTCCCCCTGGGATCGAGGAAGAGCCGATGTCTTCCCCCGCAAAAATCGGCGGGACTCCTCCTTTATCGTCGCCGCCATCGGGACCTGTTGCCCCACGTGATCTTAAGCTCGACGGTAGTGCGTTGTCGGAAACGGACGCGCTGAGTCTTCGACCATGGCCACCGTCGAAGTCTGCGGAAGAGGCAATACGGCAGCGAGGATTTTGAAACAGTCAAAAAAAGTCAAAACTGCAGTACTTTGAGGCACGCACACCCAGGCGAGGTAAAACAAGCTTTCGACGCCCGAACAAGCACCTGGCTCCTCGGCCATTGCTTTATCTTGACCACGGTGTCCAGCCCCTGCCATGCTTATTTTTATGTTGGACCAACGCCATTTGTTGCTGGTCTAGCCGTCCTCCTCTGTCCAGGGTTCGGCCATTTCCCGGCGTGCTTCACATCAAGCAGTTCCTCGGAACCAAGGTGTCCCCGGCGAGTACATCAATCAGACGGCGGCATGCCGGCGTTGCCTCTCAACGAACTATAACTCTGCGCTATTGGCTGTTGCCGCTGACTCGCGCAAGCTCGGCTCACCGCGACCGTCGTTGTCACGCCCTTCGTCTCCATCGTAATCGGTAGAAGCCTTGGACCCACCGAGCAGTCGGGGGTCGGGGCCTTCATCCAACCCTTTTAAGAGGCGAGAAGTGGGTTGGGTTTTCAGGCCGCATGAGGAGATCGGTACATGACGGCCGGGTTTTCAGGCCGCATGAGGCGTGTGCGTGGGGTGGGGGTCGGTACATGACGGCTGAATCTCCTACCATATATATGATTTTTCGCGTACGATAGCTTTAGGAGTCCTTGTTGCTTCAATCTAATCCAATTCTCGGTTGCTTGTCAGGGGGTACGTACGCTTTGCTACGTAAGAAGCTTTCCATTTCGAACCGTCAACACTTCGGTTGCCAGAACAGACTCTGGCAAGCTTCCTCCGGCACCGGCCGCCCAAACGCACAGGGCTTTCGTCTCGCGGAAACATGAGGGTTCAGGGCTTGCGGGCCTTCGCTATCATATCTATCCAATCCGGGGGATTCGCCAACATGTGCTTTACCATCTTGCACCAAAACATGCCTTATTCGGATTTCCGCCGAAAACCACCCTAAAATGCATCGTGGTGCGTGAGTATTCTCCCAAGGAGAAGCTACCCGGCAACCCAATGCAGTGAGGTATTACAAATACCACCCAATCAAATCCCTTTTCGGTCCCGAGGAGTTCTCTTCTGTCCGCCTCGCTCGCGGACACTTTCATCCTCTGGAAATACAGTTCAATAGCGAGAGCGATCGAGTCCAGAACAACGAACGACAATCTCCCTGTGTCACCAACAATGCCGTCTTCTACTCCAACATGCACCATACCGCCAGACAGACGGGTATCCGAGACCCAGCTCACCGAAAAATCCATGCAATCCCATCGGGGCGGTCGAGGGACGACGCATTCGCGCGACTCCGTTCTTGAGGGGATGATTCATACCCGCCCCGCCCAACGCGGTACCGTTGGTACCGTCGGCGCCGACGGAGGTGGACGCTGTCGGCGAGCGGCCTAGCCCCATTGGAAGTTCGCGCACCGTTCTTGAACGGGACAATGCCTGTACCGGGTGATTGGTCCACTAGTCTATAAGAAGGCGATGTCGCTGGGCGGAAGAGATGGTGAAAATTGCTTGTCGGTGGCGTCGTCCAAAAAGTTGTGTTCCTAAGGTGTCAGCGGCGAGACAATGCTACATAGCATTCAGCAGAATAATCCTGAAAAGTGAAGGACTGAACGACCTCGTTAACCTGTACTGAACCTCATCAACGAATTGGTGGTGCAACTGAGACACCCCACTACTTTTAGACTGATTAACGAGAGAGTCATCAGCCCTACCAACAAAACCTCGCACCAACCGTAATCACCTTGTATGCGCTGCGGCTCAGTCTCCCTGGGATTTGCAGGTCTGCCGGCCCTGCCTTCATTCGAATCACCTCCGGCTCCCCCGACCCGTCCACGCCCCCTTCTTCGGGGAAACCCATCTCTTGGACCGTGACGCCCGGTCGAACATTCGCGACCGTCTCGACAAGGCTAGCCTGTTCACAGGCACCGCGCAAGACCATTGCCGTTTACACGCAACACCCTACAACATGGATGCCACAGTCAAATGGTCCATGTGGCTAGCTACAGTGGCATCGATGCGGGGTCAATAGACGCCTTAGAGAGTTTGGGTTCTGACGCGAACGCGAGCGTGTGGTCGTACTCTCGACCAGTTGTCCAGCTACAGGCGACGATGAGCCTAAATTTTCCGGTCGTGTCGTAATCGGAATCGATTGATTGGGAGAGTGAATACCTGCTAACTAGATATAAAAAGGACAATCTTTCTAGCGGGTGATATTGCTAGCTTTTCTCAAAGGGGACCGATGAAAGATATCCCGAACGCCTGCTATCCGGCGTCGACACATTCCGCTCTGTCTCGCATCAACCATCCAACGCTCGAGATGCAAGCACCTCAAGTGGCGAGGGTCGGAGTACTTTTGTTCCCTCTAGGCCACTGTTTGCCAGCTATTGAGCCAACTCCACCAAAAAGCCATCCGAACGGGTAGCTCCATTGTATTACAGTAGTAGATGCCAACACCATGCACATAGCGATGTATGCCTATGCGCGTAGGAAGTTTTTGGAATGAACGCGAGTAGACACGCGGATCTCGTAACTGATCTACGGACACGGACCGGACTCGTAATTGATCCGCAACTATGAACAACATGCCCCATGACATTGTTCGACAACTTCTCACCTGCACCGTGTAGTCGAGATGCAAGAACGCCCCCAATCCTTTCTCAACGCCTCCTCCTCCTTCTCCTCCGGAAAGCCTGCCCCTCTTGCCCCCTTTCTGCTGCTGGTGCTGGTGCTGCCGTTGACTGGATGCTCCTACCCCCGCCGGACTTGTGGAAGGCCTTCTATAGCCCACACAGTCCCGAACGTTCACCTGGGGAGAAACCTGGGGATTTTCCAAGGAAACAGGCGTAAGTCGAGCATGCTATTCGGGAAGGCCTTAGAGTTGCTGCAGCGGTCGGAGCGTTGGTGGGTGGTCTGGCGACTTCAGTTCACTGCCAAGTATGTGTGGGTTTTACGGAAGAGAAAACCGGACCGCCTCGATAATTTTCATGAAACCGTCCAACCATCATCCCAGAAAAACGGAGGGGGGGGGGGGGGGGTCGGGTTCTCTCAAGCGCATGTATGTGCAGTATTGGGGTGGGAAGGCAGCGGGGTCATGCGCCTAAGATTGCGTACAGTGACTGGCTTTTGCCCTCAATTATGAGCTTGGCGTATGGGCACGGGCAATATTTATCAGCGAGAAGGTCTGGAGGCGTACCCATCCCCCGCTGCACGCACCTGGTGGCTTGACCGGTCCAAGCCCTTCGCAAATGCATCGCCTGTGGCGCCATCCTCGCCCCCCGCCGCCGTCGATACTTGCGCTGCCGGCGCGTTCTGTTGGCCAAGCACCTGCTTTGAGGTCAGGGCCCTGATGGATGGCGCAGGTCCGGTACGGATAGGGGCCGAGTGATGCAAGATATCCATGGATAGGAGGCATGTTTATTTTCCTGGAAGTGGGCACAGGGTTTGTGTGGCGGTCATGGCCCCTAAGCAGCGGGAATGCTTGTAGACGACATGATCAGATCTTCTGACTTCACATTGAACCGCGACACCATTCACCAGAGTCTTGTCTTTGAAGCAGACGGCCTACAAATGACATACGAAAATTTTTGCTGTCGTGTCGCTTAGCGTCTGCAGTCATTGCACCGGTCACTTGAGTCCGCAACTCTTCGATGGCCTCGACGAGACCCGACGAGGTTCGCTGTCTCACCGGTTCAGTCGCCGACGGGCAGCAACGGGCTTGGTGCGGCTACGACTCGCAATCTCCTTCAGTATCTCGGCCAACTCCCTAACACAACATGCAAAGCACAATATTCAGACCCAGAGACGCGGAAATACGGGATGGGTTGGACATCGACGGTATGCAATCTCAGTGCAGGACCCGACATCAATCCCAACCATTGGGCAACGCCAGGCAAGCAAACTAAAACATAAAACAGTGCTTGAAGGATTTTCAGTGCATAGCCCAGAACGGGGGCAAAGGCCCCTCTTGAACAATAATAATAATACCGTTTCTCCGAAGTAAGCATCGCGACGTAGGAAAAGGTCGCGTGTGCATTGTGTTGATCGTGCGTGAGAGGCAGCGGGGTGAACGTAGGCTTTTGACCAGCCTTACCTTGCTTGTTCTGGGACCCCGATTGACCACTTGTCGGGGGGAATCGGTCGAGCAGCGAACTCCATGAGGGGATCCTTTCTCATCAAGAAGAGCAAGAATCTGCCGCACGGCACACAAACACACACTTTTTTGTGAAGGGAATCTACATGTAGGTCAACTTGCATCATGTTGTTGGCTCGCGGCAAGAACGACAAAATACCGGATGCTGGGCAGCTCGCGAGTCTCGCAGCTTTTTTCATAATCGTCCTTGGATACCAAGACGAAATCTTCGAGCGACACAGTCCTTGTGAATATCATGTTTTGGCGCAAGGAGGCTTCTACTTCACTACTGCAAAGCTTCGACGCACCTCAGAGAATGGCGTGCATCGACACGCTGCTATTTCCGACCTGACAAGTTGGCGATCACAACGGAGACTTGATGCCTTAAAGGGAATGATACTATGGCTGTCTAGCACCGTATGCAACGTGCAAGTGTGTTCTTGGGATCAAACAAGCGCTACCTTACAAAGTGGTGCCGGTTGATCGGCTCGTTCCCGCCCTTGGAAATGTCGAGGGTAACCAGGGTCGCTCTGATGAAGGCCGGGTTGGCCCACTGCTTGTGTCCATGATACTCCAGGAAGACCTGATGACGATTAAGTTGCAATCATCACGCGTACATGAAGAGGAACGGTTGTTAATGTGGTGTAACCCTCCTCCGGCAAAGGAATCAAGTTTGAAATCCCTTAGTCTCATCCATTCATTCGTGAATGTCTGTCGCCCTCGCCTGCAAGTCTGTCACGTTGAGCCAACCGACATCTCTCCGATCAGCCATGTCGAAGAGCATGGCCATCGCCGGGTGGACCACCGACTTGGCGCTGGAGGCCTGTGAGCGAGCGGTAGAGGGACCTTCCGACGTTGGCGTTGTCATCTGCAGTGGGAACACGGTGTAAGGGGGAAGGATACGCAAATTTAGTTCGGACGTTTAGCCATGATTTCACTGACCACGAGCCATGACCGACACGGAATACTGCGTATGTATGCACCTACTCTTACACGAGACCTCAAACAACAACAGGAGACCCTAGGTGTTTATACTAGGCACACAAAGACACGCTTGTGAAGCGAGGGTAAGCGTGTGGATGCTCAGCTGTACCCCACAGAGGTCGTGGACACATCACATGCACACACGCATAGTGTGGGAAATTGTATTGGGGGGAATGATTATTCAAGGGAAGCTCTACAATTCCACCCAGAACATCCACGCAACGTGTGACCCTGCGACAATATGTTCGGCTATGGTACACGCGAGCAGGCTCGATGACCATTACTTTGGGTGCTGTCGGCTACACGAGACCGCAGAGTTTCACTCACCATGCCAGAGCCGTGCCGAGACATTGACCTCCCCCTATTAATGCCCTTCTTGATGTTGATCGCTGCGGGTAAAGGGAGGTCGGCCAGGGTCTCGAAACTCCCTGATCCTTCCACTTCCTCAACCAACCCGCACACAGAGAAGTAAGAAAATGTCGGAAATAGCGAACACACATGCTACCAACATCCAACCTTCCAGAAGCACACAAAACTGACACAGGTGGCGACCAGACTAAACAGAGATGCGCGATCAATCCAGAACCCTCCTTCAATCTTTCTTGCATCCTATTGTTCATCCTAACATCGAGAGACCGCTTGCCTGTACACCGAAAATGTTGTTGCATCACTCACCCTCGTCCTAGTCCTAAATGGCCCTTCTTGATTGTCGATCCCAAGACTCACACTCAAAACATTCCTGTCTTCGGGGCCCACAAACCAATGGCAGTTTCCATCCTCTTAATCCATCCATGTTGCCGGACCACACCTACATACCTCCGCGAGATTGCCTCTTGTTGGTGGAACTCCTTTCTCCAGTTACGGTTCCGCCGGAAGTCGAGACGCAAGACGCGTCACCATCGCTGATCGTCTGCGTTGTAGGCGAGTGTGAGGAGGAAGAGGTTCCGTATTTCACACGGGAAGATATGAAAGGTGGTTGGGCATTAGCATGCGTCGGTGACATCCTGCAAGGACGTGCGACCGACGAGACCTGCGGCACGAAGAGCTGCTGTTGTGCCCGTTCGTAACTTTGACTTGATGCCAAAGTAGAAAGTTTTCAACGCTTCTTGCTTCTTAGCAAGAACGTCACACCTTTGTTCAATGGCTGAAATATTGTCAGAATTCTTGCTCTTTGTCCCTTTGACCATGACACTAAAAACGTTTGACCCTACCTCTAAGCATCTGTGTGAAAGCGCGTCTTGACCATGTTCTCTGATTTCTTCACGTGCGTCTGTTACGTCTTACGTCGTCGGAGAACCCGTCTCCATCTGGTTGAGTGAGAGTCCAACAGTTGGTCCCCACCCGACCTCGCGCCCTGACGTCGATATGGCATGGTACCGGTTCATCGCCCTGCGGAGAGAGCAGAATATTGTTGTCACAGAGTAAAGCACCCACACAACGAAGGGCTAGGGTTGGCTGTGTACTACATAAAGGTGTTGGCGACTAAGCTTCGCCTTTGCTTCGAAATCAAACGGGGCGGGTGGCTAGCTTTGCGAGTGTCAGACATGGATTTAGCTCCTGATCGACAGGACGCCCCAAGCTCTACAAGGACACAACGTGTGGAGAGAGGTCTCCAGCTAAATGTAAGAGCAAGGGTATGAAAATGAAAAAGAAGAGTAAATAACGGGGAGAATCTCTCGCCAGCCGGCATTCTTCCTACCCTGCCTACGAGAGCAGGAACCACGAAAAGACACAAAGTTTCGTTTTTCTTATTCGAAGTTGTTTAACCGAAAGCGACAAACCTATTGGCTGGGAATTTCAACTTGAATCCACACCCACTTATATTGAGATGAGGCCGATAGGTTCTTTTCAAGTCCAAAAAGAGAAAATCATTTTGCCCCACATACCTCGAGACTGGCGGTGTTCGGTCCACCATCAGGGTGGTCTCGGTCCAGAAACTCGTTCGTCATTGCCATCAGCCGTACGAGTCCGAGGGTGGTCTGTTGTGCACCGCATGCCCGCTGAACGACGGGGGCAACAATCCATGGACACCCGTCGAAAGAAACCAGAGCGGTTTGTCGCACAAGCTACGGCAGGTTTGGGGGAAAGGTCCCTTGTTTCATCACCACAAGCTGGCTTGCCCATCAGCAAGGACAGGGAATAAACGAATGGTGAAGGGACTTTCATGCGGAACACTAATTCAAATCGAGGTTGGCCGCACACGTGCGGTTGTATAAATTCATCGGATATCTTTGGTGCCATTGCAAGGTCAGGGCGTTGGAAGGCGGCCCCGGTGGAAATCGTGGCCATTTCGCCGGTCAGGGGTAGACCTTTAGGCAGGGAATGAGAAAGAGGAGCTGCCGTTCGCAGATGCTAAGTTCCTCAGGTGGTGCGCTCTACGTAAAGCTCGGGTGAAGACTCAGGCAGGCGTGTGACAACGGCCGTTTGACCCTGTGAAGCAGGTTAGGGAGAGGTACCAACAAGTATGTATTAACAATTAAGGATCTGCTTTGTTCATTCGCCGGCGGTTTGAGAAGCGTATACGTACGTAGCTGTTCGGGGAGTTGTGCAGTACAACCGCTAGGTCCGCCATCCATCTGGCACACAGCCCGCGGGCTTCGTCCCCCAGGTAAGGTCTATCTTTTTCCTTCAGGATAGAAAGGCGTCTAGCTTTTGCAGATCTCCCGCAACCAGATACACTATCCTTGAAACGAGTAAATTGCTTAGGAGTACGTCGAGTCTCACCGAGATTTTTTCCAGGACGGCCTGGTGACTCCTCCAAATCGCTGCAGTAGTTACTGCGTCCACAACCTAGATCGATCAGTCGGTCGAGGGCCAGCCGGGCTTTTGTCATCCACGACAATGAAGGCCGACATGGCCAGAAATTCTTGTCTTTTTCTGGGAGGCGCATGCGCTCCTGGGACAAAGGGTTCATCGTGATACATGGCGTGGTGGGTGCCAAACTGAACGAATACTCCCGTCAGCAACAATACACGACGACAGCATCCTGGAAAAGGGAAACACAAAAATATGTCATCACCTGGTAGGCGGCGTCCTCTGATGGTGGGTTGACGCTGGAAACCACCGACTCAAGCCGTGGCACGAGAGATTGGCTGTCGAGCATGGTGAGAGCTACCGAGCCTCGTCGATTCATTCTGGGAGGCATCTGCCCATACGAAAGAGCAACCGCCAATCACTACAGTTCAGCGGGCTCCCTAGTCTTGGCCTGGTACTGCACAGAACACGCGTGTCGGTTGTTGAAGTTTTGTCGCAGGTGGAGAGGCGGTCTACCTAAAGGAGTTCGCAGTGGGTTGAAATACTTCCAAAGTTTTCTGTCCAATCTCACCCCAGAAGTGCCATTTGCAAGCTAGAAACTGTAGGGAGGAGCAGCTGAACCTGGGGAAAAGCTTGCCAATACCGAGAAGCACGCGTTAGAATCAGCCGAACCAATCAGGGCCATGATTCTATCGAACCAACGTGACTTATAGCGTATACCCCAAATATAGTGCTTCGTGGGAGTACATGCGGGTACGGCGGAATAGGAGGCTGGTGATTTCCACGCACCTTCGCGTGTGTTGCTCTGTACTACAAGTACAAGCATTTGTTTGAGTAGGCGAATCGCGGCTCTGGAATATCGCTGAGCTCGGTGGTTCCTTCCGACCCTTCAACGATGTCTGCAGCCGGAAACTGGCAATTGGGTTTTTGCTTGATTCTATACTTGCCCACCAAACCAACCCTTATCAGATGGCGCTTTGAAGCGATTCGTGCTCGCCCGAGTGATCACGGAGATGAGTCTTCATGTTGCGGTTTCGCGGGACTTTCGAACAGAAAAGACCACCAACCATGAACCCCTCACCTGTGCACGCTATGCCGACCCACTAGCCGGTTTCACCAGCACCATTGGCAGCTGCAGCAAGGAGTGAGATCGATCATACCCTTCAGCAGGTACGGTGAACGCGTTCACGTGTCCACTCACTGTTTCACGTTCGCGATGTCAAAATGCGGCGAAATAGCGTCCGGTTCACCCAATTCCGCCGCAATTTTTCACTTTTCTGCGATGTGCAGATGACGGGCAGATTACAGCAGTGTGAGCACGCTATGCCGAGCATGCACGTCCCCACGTTCGTGGTCTCTCCCGATCCGTTCCCACTGACTCAAGTAGCCCATCCTTTTCATTGTTGAAAGGTCGGTAGGGCAGGGCCACAATTTACCTCGAGTGACCGTGCTGGGTGCGCAACAACTTTTTGAACGAATATTTGAATTCAGCTGCCCGGCTACACTTTTTGCCCATGGTTGAAGTAGCGATGCAGTAACCTGCAAGTGGTGCAGTGGAAGACCCATACTATACCGAAAGTTGCCGGGCGCAAGTGTTTCTGTTCCATAGGTGAACACCTCGCTCATCGAAAACGGTAGTCTAAACCGACACGGGACCATTTCGTGCAGCACCAGGACCGGCATGTCTCATTCCTCTTGGCGTAGCGCCGAAGCGCTACACAAGAGGCGGGCCGAACAGAAGAGGATTGAGCGTGCGGACGAGAGGGCACGGGAGAGGCAGAAGCGGGAGGAGGAGGAGTGGCACATCACCGGGGAACGGGCCTTCCGACCGAAAGAACGGAGTTACCCGCATGGTGGCGGGGTGGGTGCCGCTGCTTGCAAAGGTTTCTTCGGCTCGGCGGAGCGAGCGATGCATCTCTACGACAGGTGGACAGGTCGAATCGCCCTTATCTAAAGCAAACCATGGGCGTGTGGGCACTCGATTTGACCTCATCATTGATTTGATTTACAAAATTTGGCACCATTGTCATCCAACCGCCACGTCGTACAAGTTAGTCTTCGCCGGTTGAGCGGCGAGCATTCGGAATGGGTCACAAACCCATGCTTATGAACGTTCACTCTGGAATGACCCGCGCGTGAGATGCCACATGCGTTGAGTGCCCAGGGCACAAGGGTCTGTAACCTATGTGCGTACAGCAAGTCTTGTGGGATCGGACTCCTCTACTGTCTTGAGGAAGATTCCTCACTTCAAGAGCGATGTCGGAGAAGTTGGTCTCTCTCTCTCTCTCTCTCTCTCTCTCTCTCTCTCTCTCTCTCTCTCTCTCTCTCTCTCTCTCTCGCCACGGAGGCTATTCCCGTCTGTGGTTGATTGCGCTATCTGTGCCCAAACTGTGTATCAGGCTCGAAGCGAGGAGCGACTACTGTATGTATTGAGATACTAGAAGTTTTGTATTACATTGACTATCTTTGGTTCTCAAAAAAACAATTCCCTTACTTGAGTGTGCAGGCACTGCAAGCGGGAGAAAATCATCCAATACCTAATGTCAAACTTGTTGCTTCGCCATTCGCCTTCTTACTACGTCGATGGACTTTTTTCATCGCTCTAGAGGAAAGGCTCAGACAGAAGAGATGTCGGCGGTGCTAGGCTCTCTCGAGCAAAGGAACGCGGCGCTTGCACAAGCCTGCCATGGATACGAGGACAAGCACTCATCGCATCTTACCCCGGACAGAGTGTGCGTTCATGACCAGCCCACTACCGTAAAAATGTGTATCGCTTGGTAAACGCGGTGTGTATGGTCTTGGATAACAGAGTCACACCTCAGGTAGGGGAGTAAATATAATACATTCACTGCTGCCTCTATGTACCACATTCGGGATTCCTCAGGAACAGACGTTTGGAATACAATCGTTCACGTGTAAAACGTTACCGTTCATCGCTCTGATCCTATGGGATTGCATTCTTTTGTTGCGCCTTCAAACGTTTTTATTTACGTCACACCTTGGGTGAGATGTCGATTTCTTCACGGAATCGCGAAAACATGTTCTAGCCCATTGCTTAAGTTGACGTTCTTTGTATGAGCACCCCCGGTGAAGTGAAGGTATGAAATGACGGTAGTGGATCGTTCTGTGCAAGGTTGCCCCGATCTGTCTGTGCTTTCGTGTCACGCCGTTCCGCGTTGAACGTGGAGGATATCATGCCACACATTTCGTTGGAATCGTTCGCCAAGGTTTGCTGACATTTCGGTATTTCGCTTTCTCCGGTATACGCTTGCTATGGCGTCGACAGGAAAAGTGGACAGTGGGAGGTCGGCACGAAGGAGCTGCGGCTCTTTGTAGAAGTCGCGAAGAGAATGACTTCTGTACAACGCCACACGTTCACCCAAGTCCTAGCCCCGCACCGGGTAAGGGTTTCAACGTACAAGTGTCATTGATGTGTATACCCCAAGGAAATTGCCACACTACTGTAGGGAATCGGTATCAGTGTCAATGCAAGGACGAAATGCAGCGCGGACACACCGGTATCGCCAGTGCAAGAAACATATACACTGTGGAAGATGGAGCACACGGTAGAGTTGGCAAGAGCCCCGTTTTTCTTGGTCTCCGAGAGTTCTCCGAATCAACGGGAAGGAGAGTCGAGCACCCATGGAAAAAACGTTCGTGGTTCTCACTACATGTAGTGTTGCGCTAGTTTTAATGTGGAGAACATCCGTCCAAGATATCCTTTACAGTGTAGTGGATAGAACGCTGCGATGGACTGCATCGTGCTAACCCAAACAATAGCAGAACTTAGTTCAGTTTTTCCTTTCGTAGCTTGTGAGTGACGCCCAGACAACACTTCGCGAACGAACATCGAATATAATTGGCGTCATCCGCAATAACCGAAAACGGCCTCTCGATATTGGCTTCGCCCCCCGCAGGACAAGTCTGATGGTTACATCGGCCCCGTGGAGCCGCTAGCGGTAAGCCTCCAACGAGCGAAGAACGCTTCGATCGAACAAGCGGTCTCCGGAGCGATATTTTCTTCGGGATCGCCGTCTTCTTCTTCCGTCAGCGGAGGAGGTGGTGGAAAATCTGGTGGGGTTGGGAGATTTTCGCGCGGACTTCGAGCCGTTGCAGTGCGACCACCTCCAAGCGCTACGACTTCAACGTAGAGAGAGAGAGAGAGAGAGAGAGCACTGGATTGTTGTTTGGGTAGTCGTTGGCATGCACGCTATATCCACACCGCCCAGCCTCCACAGGAAGTGAAAGTCTTGTTACAGCATGGGGGGTGAGGGTACCTGCGCGGAAGTTAACATTCATCGAAGAAATAAGCTCTCGGAAACGATGGAGGGACCCCGTACATGAGCCTCAGTTAGGGCGAACATGAGACTCATTTAGGGCGCTCGAAAAACTTTACAATGTTCGCCAGTTTTGTTTTGTCGTGGGTGGTGCAATTCTCTGGTGATGAATGTGAAGGCGTGAGCTTCATGTGGCTCTGGTGTCAGAAGAGCATGTAAAGAGTGAGCGTGTGTATGCACATGTTGCAGCGAAAGTGGCTACTTGCCGCAGGTTGCAAGCACTTCTGATATCAAACATGAACACAAAATCGATTGTCCACGCATCGTGACAGTCGCCAACGTCCTGAATCTCCAAGAGCACATAGATAGCCAACAGACGGTAGTGGCTTCAGTGAAATGCGAAGCTCGTTTATTCCAAGAAAGCCTTGTGCGCGTGTCAGAGTAAATTTTCCCTTCTGCACTCGATGGGAAGGTCTTGACTGCTGCGCGTGGTACACATGACCAGCGGTAAGAACGATATCAAAGCCGGAGGGGAAACTTGAAAAACTTTCGTTGGCACGTTAAACGCAATACGACAATGCAGCTTGATCGGAATACGGCCGTGGAGACCGCACAGAAACAAGAGCACCTACTGCTGCGTTTCCTCCGCGACGTGACAGCCTCTAGAGGTCTCACCGCGCGTAGTACACGCTTCCGCCCGTCCTGATCACTCTCATTCGGAAGACCCGCGAACCAGGCACGTTTTTGTGTCGAACCCCCGACGCGCGAGAAATCGCTCCATCGGTCGTCCTGCACTACTTTAGACGCCCTCAGCGATTGTGATTGGTGCCTCATGCATTAACGTTTGGCTCTACCAGTGATAGGCCGTCTCGATAGGTACTGTGTCACTCTGCTATCCTACCAGATCGTGAGGCGCACGAAATGATTCAAAGGAACACTGGGATCTGTAGTACCGGCGATGGAAGGACAGCCCAGTCGTGACCCCCGAAACTGACTTTCAGTACAAAACCTCTTCCAATTGCATTGGAACCCTTCGTTGCTGGTATGAACCTTCCGAAGCATCAACGACTATCAAGCCGCTCCTCCTTCCACGACAGACACGACCAACGACAAAACTTTCATCGGAAAGAGCGCGGTGGAACAAAAAACTAATTATCGAGCCCCGAGGAGAGCAAAAGACTGCTACAACAGAAACACTAATGTACCTACATACAACATGCACGCGGTTGGTCTACTAAATCGCACCAAACCGTGCGTCAAACATGCGCCATGACTATGTCCTACCAGAGTTCTGCACTCTCGGTGAGGGGACTAGTGTTCATGCGTGTGAAATACCAACATTGAGTTTTTGAAAGCTCAAGCATGCTGTGAGTTGCGTGCGCGATGGTGTATGGCTGAAGGGCAGCACGGCCGTACAATTGGCATACTATACCAATGTCTCACGCCCGTGATGTTGCGGTCTACAGTATGCACGGCCAAGCTCTAGGCCAATAAACAGCAAGCCCTGAAGAGCGTACGCTAAACGCAAAACCAACCCCGGCTACCTGCTACTCATCTCGCTACAAGTGCAGTCAACCTCCATCGCCTAATACACTAGAACAATAGCGGGAAGGTCTCGACCGTCCCACCCTCGGGTCCAACCTCGAGACCCACAGTCAGGGGTCTAAAATCAAGGGTTTGCCACCTTTGGTACACGGCCATTGGATTCATGCAGGCACGGACGTGTCGTCGACCAGCACGTCCACAACGTCAGACCAACCACGTGCTCATCAAGGACCTTAGGAAGGTACGGAGGATAAAAATAGGACAGCCGAACGAGCTAGTTCGGCAAACACAGGCGAGGTGCAAACAACCACATCTTTGGAGCTTAAGAGTTTTCTCCGGCCGCGTCTTTCTCCCGCACGTCTTCCCTTGCCTTGCGGTCACAACACAACAAGTTATAGTTCAAGCCAACCGAGCAGAAACGCTTCATGATTGCTGCAGCATGCAACCAGTGTGCCTTCGACAACACGCTGGCCTGGGTGCACACAACGACGTCCACCAAAAACACGGCTGGCCAACCGATGATACCACAACACCCCCTTTCGCTGTAAAGGCCACCGCATTAACAGCAGCAGCAAGCGGCGCGACTGCAACCGCTTCGACAACATAACTGCAACCGCCTGGAAAAAAAAGAGCACCAGAAGCGTTACAAGTCCTTTGCGTACGCACATTCAACCGAACATCCAAGGGGTGTTCACCTTCCCACCTCTCTACACGCCCTCCCTCCCTTATCCGGAAGAGAGAGAGTCCCAATCAGCCTCTTGGGACGTTATTTTTACATTGTGCGCACCCCAATTTTCGATCGCGACCATAAACCTGAGCGTGAGACTTGTACCGCACCCCGACGCAACATCCCCACAAAGAGAGCATATCGTCACTGCCGCTCACGCTTCACAGAGACTCCAATCGAGCCTTCATGGCGTTCGCCTTCTCCTCCTCCTCAGCGGCAGCAGCAGGCGCCGCAACCGCTGCCGGTTCGGGAACCGCCGTCGGCGCATCGACCGCCCCTTCGAGAACCCCTTCCGTAATCTCGGCGATGACCTTGTCCACCTCCGCGTCTGCCTGGGCATCGAGTCCCTCCGCCTGTGTGCCGAAACAAAAATCCGAAACGCGGCACAACCCGGACAATTTACGATTGACACAGGTTGTACTGTCCTGGGAATTTCCGCCGCATTTTCGATGCCTCAAAACCGTGTGTCTCTGCTTCGTGAGCGTTTTGCTCTTTCGACAGTCCAAGACCTACTGCACGACTTTTTTCTTGCGCGAACACGGACAAACGAAAAAACAGGTGACGCGTAGCTTAGCAGGGAAGACTAACAGAGCACCCTCAGGAGACGTGGCCGTTGACAAGCCTCTGGAATAGACTACAATATTTCAGTGTTGTTGTCTTCACATTAAAACCATTCCAGTCTCTGCTCAGAAAATAGTACGGGGTATGGTACAAGATAAAACAAGGATACGTGTACAACGAACGACAAAGAGGCCTTCGTAATCGATCTCACGTCTGTAAGGGAAAGTCCATCGGCGACAACCTCCTCCACTAGCCCCGCACGCTCCATCTCCGTTGCCAGCTGGAACATGTTCTCCTGCAGCTCAGGAATTTTCACCAAACTGCCAAAAGAAACAAAGAAGAAGCAAACGGGGACAACAAAAACGCAGACGGTATGAGCGTACACATAAGAACAGGCTTCGATATAGTCAGCACGTCAGAACGATAGCCCTAAGACATACCCCATACGAAAACCTACAGGTAGCCGTTACTGCACAAGAGGACCCCAGGGGCGCGCAAAACGGCGTGTACGTACCGTAAATTACGCCGCGGAGGGTCACCAGGAACAGCACAACACGCGGTGGGTAGCACAAGAGCCATCGTGTTGTGTAAGTAGAACAGGAGAGTTAGTTGGTTGCGGGGCCCAGCTACCCAGTTTCCGATGAGTCGCAATTCTGTGCCTTCCGACTTCGAAGCCTTCACGCAGCTGGGCTTAGCAACATGGCACCAAAGTGGCGTGTACACCGATCTACCAAACTTGGACAAAACCAACAGCCAGAACCAACGTGACAAGGTCTACAACGGGAATGGGTACATCGACTGTCAGCGCTACTATCAACGATCAAGAGCGTAGACGGGTTGAAGGCCGTCGACAAACACAAACCATGCACGAATGGACAACATAGTCGCCATCGTCGGGCTCGGTAAGTGGTTCAAGTGGTTGCACTCACTCTCCGATGGACGCCATGATCTCTGTGCTCTTCTTGATGACGCCGGTGACCTTGATCAACGCTGAACAAAACACAAACACACACACACACAACAGAAAAAAGATGAGCACAGCAAAGCAGAGGAGTAGATCCTTGGGTTGAGGTGCGAGCCTAGCCCTTCAAGCCATGCCCCGCACCAAAGAAGCTGCAGAAGGCGGCGGCGTGAAGGGCGAGAACCAAGACTCTACAGCATGCATTGACGCGTTGCGCGGTGTCTCTGAGGTTGCATCTGAACCGCAGCTGCGCCCTCCTCAATTCATATCGGCGACCAAATGGCGACACAATCGTAACCTTGACGTTAAATAAATTGACTACACTGAAATACACGAACAGACACGGCCCCGGCTCACCTATTTGGTTTTGCAGTTGCATCTGGACGGAGTGAAGCTGTGCCTTTCCCTCGTGCATGCGGTTCTTGGCGTTACGCGACATGACCAACTCCTTCGCAAGCAGCTGGAATAAAAAAGTCGAATATACCACAGAACCAGAAAAAGGACGATGCAGTACGCAAGCATCAGGAGACGAAACACACATGACCAGTTACATGTACTTCACGAAATACATACCCTTCCTGTCATCGCCCATGGGACACGCCATTTCAGACAGAGAACGACGGTACAAAGCAACAGAAAATTCCAAGACGCCATCATGATTTTCGAATACTCATCTTCTTGCCGGTACAACGTTCTCCGAAGACTGCGAGCCTGGGTACAGGAAAATGCCTTTGGTTGTGCTCCGAACACTCACGTGTCGCCTTCGTGCTCTTGGTTGCTGAATTGCCCATCTACGCTAGATCTCGTCACTCGCCAAGATTGCGAGACATGGTGTCGGGAATACTATCTGCTTTACATTGTGTGTGCTTTCGTCCCATCTATATTCTGGGCGCCGGCTTACACACGCCCGCCTCCCTACCAACTCCTAGAAAACCCATAAAAAATCGCGAGATATCTCTACCCAGAAATTCGAAACTCTTCCTGTACGAAGAAAAGCAAACAAGACGAAGCAAAACGACACAACACGCCCTGTACATCAAATCCTCATCCTCATGCTCACTCGAATGGCCTTTTCGTTGCGAGTGCCCTCCTTGGCCATGGTCTTGATGTCCTTCTGAACCTTCTTCTCGGCCCTCTCCAGGGAAACGATCTGTCGCTCAAGCGCTCGCACCTGCATCACATGTCACACACCACGCGTTACAGACAGCAAGTACGGCGGGGGTGTACTCACGTAACCATGTCTTAGCGGTTACCACGGAGTGGGTGGAAGAGAAACGCCCCACGAAATTAATCCATAAACGATTAGGGTAACAGACTCGTGGCGTTACAACAAGCATTACGGGACCAAATGCGGATGGGGTTATTGCTTTCCGCGGAATCGTTCCGCCCGAAAAAAATCGACATCTGGTACACGAGGAAAAAAAGTGCACGACATTGGGACGGGAACACGGTGGGGAAACAGGCATACATACAACATTCACCAGATGTGGCGGGTGCTTGCCACTTTGGCGTAACAGCAGTGGTTGACACGGCAAATATTCTTTAAAACTTTCGCATCCCGTGTGTTCCCTAGCCCTAACCCTTATGCCACCGGTTTACGTGAGGTTAGCGCACCGTGGATAGTGTTGCCATAGACCGGCGTGTACTGGAGACGTTGTGGGGTAAGCTAAATAGTGTGTGTGCGATCGTAATCTGAGATGGGTATCACTATTCACCATCAATTGACACTGGTTACGACAGTCTTTGTGCTGTGCTACATGATACTGCCGTCAAGTAGTTGAAAAAAACAAACTACCAACCAAAAACACAGTATGTAAGCCGTTCGTAAGAAACAAGCTCGGTTATACAATCTTACTTCGCAATTCTCTACGCATACGGTAGATGAATGCAATTCGTCCAACAAATCTCCAAGCCATACGGTTCATTCCTATCGGGAGAAGTGGCTGATGGCTGGATACATGGCTGAATACATACAAAATGTAAGGTTGTGTTCGGTAAGGTACATACCGAGGCGTACCAGCGGTAATATACCTCCGGTATACCGGTACCGAGAATTTCGGTACGTTCGGTACGACGTCCGTACCGGTACCGAGAACTTCGGTACGTTCGGTACGATGTTCATACCGGTACCGAGCGTATACCAGTACCGAGAATACCGGTACCGGGCTGATCGGGAAGTTAGGCATGGTATTCACCCGGTACCGCCACACACGCACAGCACCAGCAGCACAGCAGTACCCTCCTCGCTCGGTAGGTCGTGCGTACCAGCCGCCCTCATCAGCACCGCATCAACCCCCGCCAACAACGATGCCCCCGCTGCTGTCGGGGGGTCCAACAACGAGGCACCCGCTGCTGGCGACCAACGCTCATCAACGCCAGCGCCGGCGCCAGCACCTCCGGAGGCAGGAGTTGTTGTCGTGGATGGTGGAGGAGGCACGGGCGTGCCAGTGATGTGCCAGTGATAAGGCCTGCTCCCATCTACGTAGCTTGGAATTGAAATTCAAAAATTCTTATCTTGAATTTTCGAACACAACCTTGGAAATTGAAATCCGTTGTCGTTTCAACTCTCCTGTGCTCGACTTTCAATGGGGAGAGTCTCGGATTTACTGCGTATAATATGAATACTACAATATTAATACTGCATTAATATTAATAGATATTTTTTATTTGGTTTCATTCAATGGTTTCAATCTTTTGCTCGCACACATACAAATATTTTTGTTTTTGCACGTGCATTTTGAAATTGACATTTTGGGCGGGCAATATGACAGACGCTCCGCACACACACCGCCGGTATCGCCTGTATCACCGGTACCGGTACCGGTATGGGCCTCCATACCATACCCAGAAGCTTGGTTAGTTCGGTACGGTGTCTATACCGGTACCGAGAAGTTCGGCACATTCGGTACGATGCCCGTACCGGTACCGAGATTTTCGGGACGTTCGGTACGCAGTTCGTACCGGTACCGGTGGTGCCGGTACGATAATCCGTGCCGGTACCGAGAAGTTCGGTACGTCCGGTATGATGTTCGTACCGGTACCGAGGACTTCGGTAGGTTCGGTACGCCGTCCGTACCGTTACCGAGAAGTTCGGTACGTTCGGTACGATGTCCGTACCGGTACCGAGCATACCCGCACCTTACCGAACACAACGTTGCAAAATGTGTAACTTGCATTGACATTGCGACGTTAAAGGGCGAAGAGCGTGTGTTCAATCATGAATGGAATGTTCTTGGACCACGTACAGATCAACTGATACATGTACAGTACACAAAAAAGATCGGGCGGTTCGGGATAGTGTCAGACAACATTCGAACGGAACACGTCCGTACAAAACGCACATAATTTGGGTCGTGGTCGTAAATGTGTCCCCTACTGCTGTGTACAACAAACCCTGCGGATGTCCAAGTATACCCAATAGGGGGGGGAGGGGGGGGGGTGACACCAGCGAATAAAAACACCAAGACATGTAGTAGATGAACGGAGTTACAGCAGTAGCATCTGGCAGTGCTCGACGTGTGTGTTGTACTATATGTAGTACATGTTACCGTATACGACCACAAGATAACACACCACCTCGACCGATGTTCAAAGCTCGATTTACCACCAGCAGAGAGAATCGCAGCGCCGAAAACGGCGGCGTTGAAAACCGCCTGATCGAGAGCTATCCGAAAACGCATCGTTTCGTTTATGCATCCTCTTCGCCGTGGGGTAATCGAGCTTTGGAAATCGGTCCAGGGGGTGTGTTATCTTGTGTCGAATCGGTACAGGTCATATGTGACCGTCACGTCCGCTACTGCTGTTGCTATGTATTAAAAGGGGGAGGTGTGTGTGTTCGTCACATTTAATCTGGCGCCGGTTCACAGGCCTTTCGGCGTATATATCTGACGTACCACGGCCAGGGTCACACAAGAGAAAAAGTCAAACAGCAGTGTGATCGGTTTACCGAAATTTCAACTCTTCATCGGCAGGAAATAGGAAACGACTCTGGAAGCAAGGTCGAGCAACTGCTGAAGAGGAGAGCAGAAAACAATAGTTGCTATAAGATACAATATGTATTTGTACAAGTAAAAGGCAGAGAGGGAGAGAGGGGGGCAAGATGGAAAAAATGAAAAAAATTCATAGCAGGGTTTGGTGTGTTGTTGGTGTAATGGTTTTGGAGTAAGACATAGTGGCATCGTAACTCGCTTCGCTCGCAGACACTTCACGGGGTTTCGGGCGCGGTGCAGTGTGCGGTCACAGTGCCGCGTGACTCGATTCGCTCGAAGGCACTTGACGGGGATTCGAGCGTCGTGCAGTGTGCGTCACAGGAGTGCCGTGTTGCTCGCATGTACTCAAAGACAGTTCATGCGCAGCAGCGTCATGTTCCCCCTCTCGAGGAGTTCCTTATGTGCTTCGTCACACACCGGTGTGCCTCTCTTCTCTCCGTTCGTAGCCACTTGGCGATATTGCACAAGATGATCAATAGTTCGACAGCTCAGCGAGTGCATACTCCCCCTCGACACGCGTTGCCCCACCCAAACCGTTGTACAGAACTCCAGACCACACACCCGCCCACCCGTCTGGGGCGTTGTATGGCCGTCTTTCGTCCCACAGTGTAGCGTACGAAACTCCCCTATACCCCTCCTGTTAACCGTAACAGTGGGCGGTGCCTTTTGTCGCATGTCGGCTAGAGCGTTGACGGCATCGATGGGCGGTTGGAACGCCTCCTTGAGGAAATCTCTTGCTAACTCTCTGTCCTGCAAGCCATCGTCTGGTGACACGAGGAATAGGTAAACCCCCCCCGGACCCCCCCCAGCGTGGTTTGCTGGGTTCACCACACGCGTAGTATGCTTGGTCCACCGCACGCGTTGTCTGCTGGGTCACAATACGAGTGCCGGGGGGGGGTATGCACCCCCCCGGACCCCCCCCA